AACCACAAGTGTGGTTTGTTCCTAGATTTTTCACTAACATTCACTTACAACAATCTTAAGATATTTATTTAGACAATTCTAGATAGTGCTCTGACTTTGACTTGTAGATTTGTGTAGGGACTTGAGCGAGCTGGGCTGGTTCTCTTTTACTATCGTCCTTCGAGAAGTGATATAGTGGCTTCATTTGCAGACCAAACATGGTTATAGTGTGGTTGAAGATCAGATAGAGAGTTTTGGAAGGTGAATGTAGGCTGCTTAGGTTGCGCACGATCTGTCTCGCTCCTTAGCATGAAAACCACATCTGCAATGGTTGGCCTATCTGCAGCATTGTTTTGCACGCAAAGAAGCCCGATATGCATGCATCTTGTCACTTCTGATGCCGAATATGAATCTGCCAATACTTCATCTACGAAGTCCAATCCCTTGCCTTCATTCCATAAGTTCAATGCCTGAAAAAAGTTATATATGTTGGCCACAATTGCTAGACTGAACTGCTGTATTGAGTTTTCGTATAGAGGAACTTACATAAGCTAGGAAACCTAGCTCTTGTTCCTTGTAAAAGGAGCTGGTATTCTTTCTGCCGGCGATAATCTCCAATAGCAAGACCCCAAAGCTATAGACATCAGATTTTTCAGAAAATATCTCGCCCATGGCATACTTCGGAGACTTATAGCCACTGCACAGGCAAATTCAGTCCCACTTAATTGACAATTATGAGCTATTTATGTGTTAAACTTTAGATGGTGAACGACGATTATGAGAATAGGAAGAAATGATGCTTACAGAGTTCCCACCACCTTCTGAGTGTTTTCTAAATTATGCGTCCCTTGAACGATGCGTGCCAGTCCAAAATCTGAAATTTTCGGGTTCATGTTCTCATCCAAGAGAATATTACTGACCTTCAAATCTCTGTGTATTACCTTCAAACAGGAATCATGATGCAGATAAAGAAGTCCTCTAGCGACACCTTGAATAATATTGAAGCGTTTAGCCGAATCAAGCACTGCTCTTCTCATTGGATCTGATCGATGCACATATTGGAAATGTAATCAATAATATCATTCATAAGTACAGTGTATAGATTGCTCTTATATATTACATTGAAGTCGATTTCCAGGTCTAGATACTGAAACCAACATATGAATTTGAAAGATAGGTAACAAGGAGAAATTGTAGCAAGACATAAAGAGGGCCGGTGAAAGAAAACTAACCGAATAGAAGAATATCCAAGCTTCTGTTTGGCATGAACTCATAAATCAGCAACTTCTCGTCGTCTTTAATGCAGCAACCCATGATCCTAACAAGATTTTTATGTTGGAGTTTAGAGATCAACATCACTTCATTCTTGAACTCTTCTATGCCTTGCCCCGAGCTACTAGACAGTCTTTTTACTGCTATTTCCTTCCCTTCTTGTAGCTTGCCCTAAAAAGAATGAAAAGTTAATCACTGAATCCATGCCTGTGTCTCGCAGTGGTAGGCTTGTGGCCAGTGTCGTAATACAACATTTCCCTTTAGAAATAGCAAAATAATCACCTTGTAAACAGGCCAAATCCTCCTCCCCCAAGTTTGTTGTTGATGCTGAAATTGCTGGTAGCAATTAATATGCTATCAAAATCATAGATTATAAGCTCTGATGGATCATGTTTTCTTATAAGTTCTTGAAGAGCGTCTCTTGAATTCTCAGTCTTACCATTCAATTCAAAGCGGACTGTCGTTACTTTGATGTTTCCTGATTTTGCAAATATAACAACCAAATTCAGAGTCAGAGAAACAACAATGAAGTTATACTGATTTGGTTAATACAGAGATCATGTGTTAATGCATTGATTACGTCCATCCATTTCATTTTCTTACCCTTTTGTTTAGCGCGCAACCTGTGCAAACCGAACACTACTGCTGCGATACTGATAAAACAAAAGATGTAAGGCTGACAGTTAACTTTGTTTGCTTTCCTTCACCTGAAAAAAAATGAATTCGTATTACAAAAATATACAAGACAGAAAAGAAGGTATATTGCTTATTAGAGTTGTGCAAGTGGATATTATCACTTACCGAATTCTACGTCTGCTAGGCGAATAAAAAGATCTACTCCACCAGTGGAAAACTGCTGAATATCAATAAGGTCCTTGGACCAGATCAAACAACCTATATTGTTAACATATGCATAAGCCAGGCAAGACCAATTATTCTGGCACTGCGTCCTGCAGCCTCGAGGATCCATATTCAAAATATACTCATGAAAATCTGGTGGGTTTACCATTTCTATTTTTTTAAACCCATCTTCTTTTCCTCTCGAAGCAACTGGCTGACTTGCGTTACCTCCACAAAACAATTTGGTTTTCCTCACGCATCCTCCTGTCATGTTTCCCTTACTCCATTCCTCAAGTGACTCTAGTACGAACCCCTTCAAACACTTGCAGATTGGAGTTGTCAGAGAATCAGAAGCTCTGCAAGCCCCAAAAGGTCCACATGTTCCATAATAGTCACATGGATTCTTTGGGGCCTCCCGGTTAATACTCCAGTTCTCACCTTGTTCCGAATACATAAGCTTTAGCGTACCATTTGGAGAGATATAATAAAATGCCAGAAATTTGTTATATAAACTAATGGAAAAGGATTCTGTTCCCTGTTGCTCATAATCAACCACCTTAAAACCACTAGGATATTCAACATCCATGCCGGGTATGCCTATGAACTTTGATTTTATCCCATGGACCGCTTCTCCAGTAGGGAGTTGATCCGTTCATCCAAATGAATCCCTGAGCTGGGATATGTTGTGCCAATTCAACCGAGAATAACCCTCTTGATGGATCATTCAAACTTTTCCAGGCAGTGAAGACATTTCGCTTTCCAGATTCACTATCAAATCGCAGTGCCATTTCTGGTAGAAGTGTGTCATCAGGACAATCAAAGCTCTTCCATAAGTGATGTCCTATATCATCTGCAACAATGAAGTTTCCAGTCTCTAAAAGAACTGCAGCTGAACTATTAGATGACTCCTGAATATTGATTGACCATGTGGATTTCTGTTTCCCATCTACAAGCTCAAGATTCCCATTGTTCATCGCTAAACTAGCCAATGCATCAGACAACTGCAAGAGGCTTTTCCCTGTGCGAGGAAGAATATTCTTGTGCCATATTCCCACATACTTATTTTCGGAAGTGTTGAAGAAACCCAATTCGAAAATGTGGCTGGGAGAGACGAGAGTTTGTCCCTGTGCTAATGGTTGCAAAGAAGTTATGTTATATACCTCAGCACAATAATGCTGTGTCAGAAGCAAGCTTAAGAAGAATAGGAAGAACATGGGGGAATTCATAGCACTAAAAGCACTTTCGGTTCTAAAATTCAGAAGAAAAACTCTGTCAGTAGCAGATGGACCGCAGAACTTCTTAGTGAACTGCATTTGTGTTCGCTCTTTCTTTCTTTATATTAATAGATACAACAGCAGAAACTCCATTGTGAAGAAAATTGTACCAATGCTTACAAAATCATGCGCTGGCTTGTAACGAATTGATTGTTCAGGAGGAGGAGGCCCCTCCCCGGTTGGAGCCCACCTTTAACGTTACACTTGGTATTGATGATGTAGCCATTAATTGATTAACGAGGATAATCCTTGGAAGAGATTGAGCTGTAAAAAAAAAAATAATCACCTTCAGAGTGAACTTTGAACTAGTCTTCGGCTACTCCTAGATGTGATAATCCTACAAAAATTTTGCTTATATGACCAGTTAATCAGTTACTAATATAGTAATCTTCACCCATATAAAGTCAGTTCGACTAAATGTGTATGTATAGATGCAGTCACAATACCGAAGATGCTTTTTTTAGTGAATTAGCGAGATGCATCTGACGAATACCACATCAACAATATAAATTAAACAACGTGTTTTCCAGTTCTATTTGTCTTTGTAATCTGCTGCTTCGTAAGTAGTTTGAAAGTAATTTTATTTGAATAGCCAAGGTTATAAAATTCTGTATTCAGTAACTGATAATATGCTTAAATCTGCGTTTTGCAATGAAAAAGAAGCTTCTAACAAATTGCCAGAAAAACAACGGCTTGCAATGAACTTTGACTAACCTACCTAATGAACAAAGAAATGGAACAACAGTCAGTATTAACACCACCTAATTTACCAGACCAAACCCTATATTATTGACATATGCATAAGCCAGTGTTTTGCACTATTCTGCATTCGAAGACGTGATATATTCATGAAAATATCGTACTTTTAACCGCGCCATCTTCAAAAATCCGTCTTTATTTCCTCTCGAAGTAACTGACTGACTTGTATTAGTCTCACAAAACAATTTTGTTTTGCCTCACGCACCCCCTGTTTCCTTTGCTCCATTCCTCATGTGACTTCGGCACAAACCTTTTCAAACACTTGCAGATCAGAGTCGTTGGAGATTCAGAAGCTTTACAAACCCAAAACATCCACATATTGCATATTTTTCACATGAATTCTTTTGTCCTACCCAGTCAAGATTCCAGTTCTCTCCACGTGCCGAATACATAAACTTTAGCATACCGTCCGAAAAAAGCTGGGAGCTGTTTTTGTGTTTGGTAAACATTCAGCTTCAGTTTTTTTTTACAGTTTTGGGTGAAAAAAAGCCAAAAACAAGAAGCTGCAAAACCCAGCTTTGAAAAACTGGTTTTTTTTCACATCTGTTTTACATAAAAGTTTACCCAACACTATAATACTGCTTTTTTTTTCAAAAGCACTTTTACAAAAAAGTTTACCAAACACTTTGCTGCTCACAGCTGCTTATTCTCACAGCACAGCAGAAGCAGCTTTTTTTCAAAGCACAGCAATACCAAACCAGCCTTTAAGTGTTGTCAATGAAATTAAGAGTTTGTCCCCCTGATAATGGTTGTGAAGGACTTACCTCATAAACTTCGGCCTAATGGTGCCACGACAGAAGAATCAAGCTAAAGAAGAATCGGAAGAACATGAAGAAATTCAAAGCATTAACAGTAGTTTCGGTTCTTATTCGCACTCGAATAATTAAATTTTTCCAGGAAAGCATACAATCAATAGCCGGTGGATTCTCGACAGTCCTATTTATCACTGGATGAGTTAAATTTTGAGATTTGTGCCTATCTACTACACAAATCTCAAAATTTAAATTCATCTAATGGTAATAAATAGGATGGTGAGCATTGCCAGCAATTGAGGGTGATGAGCAAAAATATTCCCCCAACCACAAGTGTGGTTTGTTTCTAGATTTTTCACTAACATTCCATGACAACAATCTTAAGATATTTATTTAGATATTCTAGATAGTGCAGCGCTCTGACTTTTGACTTGTAAATTTGAGTAGGGACTTCAATGAGCTGGGGATGTTCTCTTTTAACACGTATTCTTTTACTATCGTCCTTCGAGAAGTGATATGGTGACTTCATTTGCAGACCAAACATGGTTATGGTGTGGTTGAATATCAGATAGAGAGTTTTGGTAGGTGAATGTAGGCTGCTTAGGCTGCGCACGATCTGTCTCACTCCTTAGCATGAAAACCACATCTGCAATGGTTGGCCTATCTGCAGCATTGTTTTGCACGCAAAGAAGCCCGATATGCATGCATCTCGTCACTTCTGATGCCGAATATGAATCTGCCAATACTTCATCTACAAAGTCCAATCCCTTGCCTTCATTCCATAAGTTCCATGCCTGAAAAAAGTTATATATGTTGGCTACAATAGCTAGACTGAACTGCTGTATTGAGTTTTCGTATACGAACTTACATAAGCTAGGATACCTAGCTCTTGTTCCTTGTAAAAGGAGCTGGTATTCTTTCTGCCAGCGATAATCTCCAATAGCAAGACCCCAAAGCTATAGACATCGGATTTTTCAGAAAATATCCCTCTCATGGCGTACTCCGGAGACATATAGCCACTGCACAGGCAAATTCAGTACTACTTAACTGACAATTATGTGCTATTTATGTGTTAAACATTAGTTGGTGAACAACGATTATGAGAATAGGAAGAAATGATGCTTACAGAGTTCCCACCACCTTCTGAGTGTTTTCTAAATTATGCGTCCCTCGAACGATGCGTGCCAGTCCAAAATCTGAAATTTTTGGGTTCATGTTCTCATCCAAGAGAATATTACTGACCTTCAAATCTCTATGTATTACCTTCAAACAGGAATCATGATGGAGATAAAGAAGTCCTCTAGCGACACCTTGAATAATATTGAAGCGTTTAGCCCAATCAAGCACTGCTCTTCTCATTGGATCTGATCGGTGCACATAATGGAAATGTAATCAATAATGCCATCCATAAGTACAGTGTATAGATTGGTCTGATATATTACATTAAAGTCGATTTTGAGGTCTAGATACTGAAACCAACAGATGATATTGAATGATAGGTAACAAGGAGAAATTGTAGCAAGACACAAAGATGCCGGTGAAAGAAAACTAACCGAATAGAAGAGTATCCAAGCTTCTGTTTGGCATGAACTCATAAATCAGTAACTTCTCGTCATCTTTAATGCAGCAACCCATGATCCTAACAAGATTTTTATGTTGGAGTTTAGAGATCAACATCACTTCATTCTTGAACTCTTCTATGCCTTGCCCCGAGCTACTAGACAGTCTTTTTACTGCTATTTCCTTCCCTTCTTGTAGCTTTCCCTAAAAAGAACGAAAAGTTAACCACTGAATTCATGCCTGTATCTTGCAGTGGTAGGCTTGTGGCCAGTGTCGTAATACTACATTTCCCTTTAGAAATAGCAAAATAATCAAAATAATCACCTTGTAAACAGGGCCAAATCCTCCTCCCCCAAGTTTGTTGTTGTTGCTGAAATTGCTCGTAGCAATTAATATGCTATCAAAATCATAGATTATAAGCTCTGATGGATCATGTTTTCTTATAAGTTCTTCGAGAGTGTCCCTTGAATTCTTAGTCGTGTCATTCAATTCAATGCGCATTGTTGTTACTTTGATGTTTCCGGATTTTGCAAATGTAACAACCAAGTTCAGAGTCAGAGAAACAAAAACGAAATTATACTGATTTGGTTAACACAAAGATCGTGTTAATACATTGATTACATGCCTCTATTTCATTATCTTACCCTTTTGTTTAGCATGTAACCTGCGCAAACCGAACACTACTGCAGCGATACTGATAAAACATATAGATGTAAGGCTGACAATTAACTTTGTTTGCTTTCCTTCACCTGAAAATAAGGAATTTGTATTACTGTTATACAAGATAGAAAAGAAGGTATATTGCTTAATAGTGTTGTGCAAGTGGATACTATCACTTACCAAATTCGGCATCTGCTAGGCGAATAAAAAGATCTACTCCACCAGTGGAAAACTGTTGAATATCTATAAGGTCCTGGGACCAGATTAAACAACCTATATTGGTAACATATGCATGAGCCAGGCAAGAACAATTATTTTGGCACTGCGTCCCGCAGCCTTGGGAATCCATATTCACAATATACTCATGAAAATCTGGTGGGTTTACGCTTTCTATTTTTTGAAACCCATCTTCTTTTCCTCCTGAAGCAACTGGCTGACTTGTGTTACTCTCACAAAACAATTTGGCTTTCCTCACGCACCCTCCTGTCATGTTTCCCTTACTCCATTCCTCAAGTGACTTGGGTACGAACCCTTTCAAACACTTGCAGATTGGAGCTGTTAGAGAATCAGCAGCTTTGCAAACCCCAAAAGGTCCACATGTTCCGTAATAGTCGCATAGAGTCTTTTGGGCCTCCCAGTTAATACGCCAGTTCTCACCATGTTCCGATTCCATAGTCTTTAGTCTACCGTTCGAAGAGATATCCATATATACCAAATTTTTGTTATATGCACTACTACAGAAAAAGGACGCTGCTCCCTGTTGCTCATAATCAAGCACCATATGACCACTAAGATATTGATCATCCATTTCTGGTATGCCTATGAACTTTGATTTATCCCATGGACCGCTTCTCCAGTAGGGCGTTGACCCGTTAATCCGAAGGAATATCTGAGCTGGGATCTGTGGTGCCAATTCAACCAAGAATAACCCTCTTGATGGATCGTTCAAATTTTTCCAGGCAGTCAAGACATTCCGCTTTCCAGATTCACTATCAAATCCAATCAACATTCCAGGAAGAAATGTGTCACCAGGATAATCAAAGCTCTTCCATAATTGAGCTCCCATATCATCCGCAACAACGAGGTTTCCAGTGTCTAAAAGAACTGCAGCTGAGCTATATGATGACTCCGGAATATTGATTGACCATATAGATTTCCGTTTCCCATCTACAAGCTCAAGTTTCCCATTGTTAATCGCTAAACTAGCCAATGCGTCTGCAACTGCAAGAGGCTTTTCTCTGTTGGCAACCCACACAACTTTGCGAGGAAAAATATTCTTGTGCCATATTCCCACGTACTTATTTTCGGAATTGTTGGGACTGAAGAAACCCAATTCGAAAACGTGGCTGGGGGAGACAAGAGTTTGTCCCTGCGCTAATGGTTGCAAAGAAGTTATGTTATATACCTCAGCACAATAATGCTGCGTCAGAAGCAAGCTTAAGAAGAATAGGAAGAACATGGAGGAATTCATAGCACTAAAAGCACTTTCGGTTCTAAAATTCAGAAGAAAAAACTCCGTCAGTAGCAGATGGACCGCAGAACTTCAGGTGGAGAAGGCTCCTCTACCTTTAATGTTACACTTGGTATTGATGGTGCGGCCATTAATTGATTAATGATGATAATCCTTGGAGGTGATTGAGCAGCAAAAAAATAATCACCTGCAGAGAGAACTTTGAACTTGTCTTCGGCTGCTTCTAGATGTGATAATCGTATAAAAAATTTGCTTATATGACCAGTTAATCAGTTATTAATATAGTTTTCTTCACCCATATAGTCAATTTGACTAAATGTGCAATAGCATTGGATCAGAACGTTAAGAAGATGTTTTTTTAGCGAATTAGGGAGATGCATCTGACGAATACAACATCAACAATATGCATCAAACAAGTGTTTTCCAGTGCTATTTATCTTCGTAATCTGATTCTTCTTAGATAGTTTGAAATTAATTTTGTTTGAATAGCCGAGATCATAAAATTCTGTATTCTCATTCAGTAACTGATAATAAGCTCACATCTGTGTTTTCGATGAAAAAGAAGCTTCTAACAAATTGCCCGAAAACCAGCAGCTTACAATGAACTTTAACTAATCTAACTAATGAACAAAGAAATGATAGAACAGTCAATTTTAACCAATCTCACTTCGTTCTAGCGGATTCCGCGCAATCTTAATAAAGAGACAAATTATGTATCACATTTTGGAATGACCGGAAAGTCATTGCATTGTGATGCAAGAATTTCCTACCGTCCTACAATCATTTTTATCCGGTAGCTTCATATGGGGAGAAAATTCACATACTATGGTTGAGGATCAGATACGGCCTGGTTCGCCGGCAGGGAGTTTTCGATCCACTAATCCAAACTACGGCTTGTGATGGCACCTCTGGTGTCAATCCAATAAAGATCACTCTCACCTTTCCCTGAAGTCAAGAAATTCGTCTATTGAATCTCAGCAGCATAAGCCGTGACGGAAATTTCCAGTTGACATTTTATTTCAACAGCTGAGATTATAAAACTGGTTACTTTCATTCAGTAAATAATATAAGTTGACATCTGTGTTTTATACAGTGAAAGAAGCTTCTACACGAACTCTGACTGCAACCAATTTTGACAACCTGACTAATTAATATACAATACTGATAAACTAAGACTACGGCTAGTCTATTAACCAAACGGTCCAAACCTAACAACTCACGCGAGAGAGAGAGAGTTTGAGAGGTGCTTCTAGAAAGATAGTGGGCTGATTTTAATTATGATAATAAAACATAAAAAGATGAGGATTTTAATTAATAAACTAGTTCAATTTTTTTTTTGTTAAAATAACCGTAAGTGTTGGAGATGCTTATGATAAATTGACCAGTTGTAGGAGTTTATGTCATTTGGCTAGCTGAAATAGCAAAAAACTAGTAAAAAACCCGCGCGTTACTGCAGGACTTGAATGCACTAACCTTAACCACATGAATAATTTTCACACAATAATTTAAAAGACGGTGTAGTACCTAAGAACTAATGAAGTGAAATTTTGCTTGCTATATATGGATATGCATGCTATAAGAAAGCATTCATTTGTAGATCGTACTCTGCTATCAGTATTATACTCATAGTTTCAAGTGGTCAGCCCACTACTTGGGGGAAAACTGAAAAAGGGAAACCAAAAACGTAGAAGACATAATATTTGAGCATCTGGCAGGAATAGTAAGTTTCTGAAAAAACTAGTTGAATAACCGATTGAATGACTTTACACTTAACCCACTGGTTGAAGAGCAATTTTGGATTTTTGTTTGGTATTGTCGGACACTCCTCCAGAAAGTTACTTCTTTTCCCTTTTTTTTTCTGATCACCCAGGTCGCAATCAACCTTAGAAGTCCTGAAATTAAACACAAAAACAAAATTCGATCAGCACGAAATATCAATTGGACGGGAGTCGAAAGCAAATCTATGACTTTAGCAAACATGCATATTATTTTCTTAGTCCAAATATGAATTTGACATCATCTCGTGTAAAACCACCAACCAATATCACCTCTCAAAGAAATTATACATAGATTATACATAGAAGAAAACGAATGCTTACCCAACAATCTCTGAATTTAATTGCAGATTGTTCAATTGTGAACCAGAATCTGTGCTTTCTTTCCCTCTCGACTTTGAACTCTGCTTCATTTTTTACAAAAATCACAAATCAAATCAACAAAAATTAATTAAAAACTTCATCTTGGTAATCGAAAAGCGAAGATTAAATACCCAAAATATACTAATAAACATTAAACACCATAATACATCGGAAAAGCCCGAGTTTCAAAAACCTAAACACCATAATTATATTGGGAAAAATCTTAAATCCTTCATTGCAACAAACCCCAAAACCCAATTACTGTTCCAGGTGGCATGCACAGTTTTTTGTTATAAGAAAAGAGTAACCCCAATCCCAAATTAAGCACAGAAATCACTTCATAATCCCTAATTACTGGAAAGAAGGAATCTTTGAAAGGGAAGCTTCTGGGTGGCATACACAGATTTTTATTATAAGAAAAAAGTAACCCCAATTCCAAATTAAGCAGAGAAATCACTTCATAATCCCTAAATACTGGAAAGAATGAATCTTTGAAAGGGAAGCTCACCACTGCTATCATAAGGCGTGAGCACAGACAGCTTTGGAGGCTGCAAACAAAAGCCCCAAAAAACAAAAAACCAGGGTCTCCTGAAACAGAAAACAAAACCAAATTAAACCACACGTAGAATCACAGGCTACAAACAAAACCCCCAACACAATCCCAAATGGAAGGAAAGGGTAAATGCAAGAAGAAGAGATGTGACAGAGGGAGAGATACAATCCCTCAACCCCACCCTCTCCGTGCAGCCAACACACTTGTTCCCTCAACCCTACCCTCAAACCGAGCACCCAATCAACTCTCTTTCTGTCCCCCCTAATCGTGCTCCCGCCCTCACCCTTTCTCTGCAACCAACCCCCTCCCCTATCTCCCCCAAATCAAGCCCCCACAACATCCCATCAGTGAAGAATCAAATCCAAAAGTAAATTGCAGTTACCTATTATGGTAGGATTAAAATAAGAATCTCCAAATAGAAAGACAAAGGATATAATACAACAGATAGCTCACCCAAAAGGTGTAGCCCTTTCACAATGGTGATACATTTCCGCTTATTACACATGGCTTTTTCAATTGTAATTTCTTGCTTCTCCTGTAGAAATAAAAACACAACAGAACAGATTTCATTAACCACTCATACCTATTCCATCTCTATCTATATATAAATATTGATTATGATCACATTTTGATCATCGACATAAAATACAAATCATTGTATATTTGCACAATCAAATATTTATGGAACTCACAAACGAGAGCCAGAGCTTCAATTCCTGTGAAACCACCCTTCTCTCAAACCCTTGGCGACAAATTCTTACATCATCTATACCGTAAACTTGATCAATCAATCAAAGATTTATAAAACTTTTGAATTTTAACCTCAATTACAACTTGCAGACCCAAAATTGATCCAAATCAAAGTTGAAGAATCCTAATAAGAACAAAGGCACTAAACTATAGAACTTGGGTATTTCTTAAAACCTCAAACCCATGATATTTTAAATCCTTAAATTTTCTGAGCAACGAAACACTATCAAACTAACATGATTAAAGAAATTGCTAATTACAAATGGGGAAAACTACAGCCCATGGGTAGTTCCTAAAATCCCATCATGTTTTCAATTCCAAAATTTCTCGTCATTTAGGAAACCCACTAAGCTTGTCTGCCCTGTACTGTGCACCTAATAATGGAAAGAAAAAAATAAGATAAAAAATTACATAGCTATTCGGCCATAACTGCATCCTATCTAAAACGCAGTAAAATGCCAGAGATAAAGTTTGGAACTCAGCATTGTATAACATTTACAGATGACAACCAATGTAAATTTGTGAAAAGCGAAACCACCCCATTGTTTTGAATGTTGTTATTTTGGAAAACCTTGCAAATCACAATGAATAGCATCTGATAACCTTAAATAGGGCCGAGAATTTCAACTCACCATCCTCCTTTAGCACAGAGCAACTCGCTTCCTTAGCAAAGTAACAAACCGGAATAACACACTCCTGTTGAAGAATGTATCCATTGCCAAAAGAAAGTGCACATTAAAGAGCACCAAAAAGCCAAACACTTTCAAGACTGTCAAACAAATTTCAGTTCAAGGGTTTGAACCCATTGATCTAACTGCAAACATACAAAGGACAGAAGTAAAAATGTAGAACAAAAACTTTTAAAAATACAAACTTAAAATATTACCCATCATGCTAGCTGCTTCTTCTAACAGAATTATTTTCACCTTTCTAATATCATAGTATTTTTTTTCATTTCTGCAATCAATATCGTCCAATCTTTGAATTTTTCATTAAATTGGATGGTAGAGTGTAGAGCCTAAAAAATGTTAGGCAGGCTGCTACAAAGATAGTAAAGCCCAACAGCTCCATCTAACTCGCCAATTGCTAAACGTTAAATTTCTTGAACTACACAACCTATGACAAATACCCGAACAGTTAGAGAACACTGGACATTCGTTGTACTCAATCTGCATATATCCCAGGACCAAGAGAGTTATGAAGAAACAGAAATGAAACTGTACAGCAGGTATACAGCAGGGAACAAACACTATGAAACTGGTAAGGAAAATCAGATTAGCATTCATCTAACCAGAGCTTCTAGCTGCTAACAATTAGTTGTTAAAACCCTAACACTAATCAAGCAATCCTGCACATATATCTAGCATTCTTCGCATCCCGCCACTAATAAAATGCATTCAAGCGCGTAGTAGCAGCTTATGTATGATAAACAGAAAAAGGAAATGGAAACATGAGTTTAGTAAAAATGAGAATAAATCAAATAAAGCCGAAAAAGAAAGACTGGTACAAGAGCTGCATAAATTAAATAGCTTTCTACAACATACAAAAGAGATTGAGAAATCTAATTTAGCAATTCCTTTTCCTAATTAGGTCTGGTAATTTAGCCAAAACCTTAGTACATCCTTTAAAAAATAAAACTCACAGGCCCTGTTTGGTTGCAGAGAAAACGAAGTATGGAAAAATAGACAATATATTTCCATTAAATTACTCAGTTAAATCAAATAACAGGTCATTTCCATGAAATGAAAAACAAATCATTCAGAATTATATAACAATTACTAAACTAAGTAAACCTTGAGGCCTTGGAGATAATCTAATGTCCAACGTACGAACTCTTCAAATACCTAACTTGCAACCGGCAACACAAATCCTGTGGCAGCTCGTGCTCCCACCACAAACACACGACCAGGTCCATCATCCTGATAAAAAAAAAAACAAATTCCAGGAACCACCATCATATCCAGTTAGTCAAATTTTAGCTCCAAGTGAATTAAAAATAATATTTACTCTATAAGCACAAGAAGGGGCATGTAGATAGAGAATTCTCACCAAGTACCAGGGAACTTCTTTACTCATTGAAAGCATCAAAGCATAATCCTGTATCCATGAGCCAGCACCACTGTGTTTCAAAAATATGTTGTTCTGCCTGAAGAAGATAAACAATATAGTTGATTACCAATCACACGAACACACAACCAACGAAAGCATCCAAATATGTTCTTTAGAGTTATGATTTGTGTACTGTTTCCTCCACAACTACGCCTCGTAAAACAGTGAACTCACAGTTGATGGGGATTTCAGAGCTAACTCTCCCCGAAACCGCAACCACCAATGGCAATCTACATTCAGAATCCAACAATTTTGCTGAAAAGTCAAAGTAGAAATCAACTCTACTTCAGGGAACAAATCCAAACAAACTAACGGCTAGCACCAGAAAAGTAAATAAATCTATAAATCTTCTCCCAACAAATGTTCCACATGAAAATGCATTTGATTCAAGCAAGGCACCAAAACAAAAAAAATGAAGCAAAAACTAATCTTTCAGTTTCGAAGCAAGGCGCATACCCAATTCCTTTAACTGATTAATCCGAGTGGCAGATTTAAGAATCTCTGCATCCCTGTGTAATCACAAAACACCAAAGTTCAACATACCAACAAAAAAAAGTTACTGACAACTTAGAAATGTGTAATTTGATCATCAGTAAAGCTAATTTGATATCGAAAAACAGAGAGAATAAACTGACCTGCCACTGCTCCTGCCAAGAAGGTAAAGAGCAGCTCCACTCAGACAACAACTCAATCCACCCCAAGGTAGCATTTTTAACCACCGCAACGATCGATAAACTAATTCCAAACCCTTGCGCTATTGCCCTCCGCCTTGTTACGCAATACCGGAAGCACCAGGGCTCAAAAACCGGACCCAGAAATAAATCATACGCGAAAGACTGATCTTTTACGGTGAATTTGATGGAAAGATATGGAATTGAAGTGGGAATTAGGGATTTTGGGAGAGAAAGAGGGTGATATTATAGGGAAATAGGAAGTCGCAAAGAAAGGGTTCTGGAAAATTTCTGTTTGTTTTCCGGAAAGTTGAAGAGGAAGGAAATTGGGAAGGGGGATTAGGGAATTTACAGTAAGCGAGCGGGGGGAGGTCATATTGTAGGGAAATAGGAACTCGCAAAGGAAGGGTTCTGGAATTTTCTGTTTGTTTCCCGGGAAAGTTGAAAATGAAAGAAATTGGGAGGGGAGATCGGAGCTTAGGGTTTCAGGAAGCAAACGGAAGACGAAGTGCATTTCCATCCCCCACCCTTTCTACGATGGTCGACACGTAGCCGTAGCTCCCATCTCTCTCCAATCCGTCAGTCCCTCTGTCCCCCTCCTCTCCTTCCCCCAACAACCTTCTGACCGATGCATCAACCACAGGACACCCACCCCCATGTCCCTCCCGAAAATCCTCACCCGAAATCCCGGCGAACCTCTCCCTCTCAACCCTTCTGTCGCCCTTCCCTCTCTCTCCCCGAGTCAAAAGCCCAGATCCAGCCCAAAGAGTGAAGACCCGTTCTTAAGCCCAGTGGCTATCTTGTAAATGAAGCGAAGTTTGGGCTGAAATCGGCGCGGTGGTAAACTCAGGCAAAATTTCAGAGTGCGGTTCGCCCCCCTACCTTTTTTTGTCTTTTTGGGATAAATCCTTTTGCAAAGAAATGAGACAATTTTATTTCAAACACACACTAGATTACAAAGAAAGGCCCACATACAAAAAAGTACCAGACACACAAATGGACCTCCCAACAAGCCCAACAAAGCTCAACAAAAGAGCCCAACACTAGAGACAAAACAAAAGATGTTTCTTGACCCTAGCATCTATCGCCTTCAAAGTTTTCCCGATCAACCCAGAACCAATCCTCCTGCCAACGCCAAATCCAATCGAGCAACTCCATGGAAGCCAACCACGAAAGCTGTCTTGATCGCCCCAATCTCAGCTAGAAGTGGAAGAAGTCTGTGGGAACACCCCAAACGACAGTGCCATAGAAGGCAAACAGAGAGAGGGAGGTGGTGTTGTAAACACCCGAGCCGATGAGTCCACCAAAGCTCTACACACCCTCTCAAAAGATTGCAAAAATTTGCGTTGAAATTTGACTACAAATCGAATTGAAAGTATTTGGGGAAGATAGGCTTTGGGTAGAAACATTTTGGTTGAATCAGGAAGAACTGGGGAGAAAATTAACGTAAAAACTAAGAAATAGACAGCGAAATGAAAAGCTCTATTCCGACCCCCACCACAGCGAGGGTCGTCGGCAACGATGTTATACGGTGGAGAAATTACTCATACAGATGGTCGAAATTCGTCGCATTGTGATGCGACGGTATGGGATTGCTTATCGTCCTGCAATCATTGTTATGGTAGCGTTATCCACAGAGAAAATGTTGTTGTAATGTGGGTGAGGATCATAGACTGATGGGTTTTCGAAATTTGTAAATATAGGCTGCTTAGGTGGTGGAAGATCCTTCTCATTACTTAGCGCGAAAACTACATCCAGCATGTTAGGCCTATCTGCAGCCTTGTCCTGCACACAAAGAAGCCCGATATGCATGCATGTCGTTGCTTCTGATGAGGAATAAGAATCGGCCAACACTTCATCTACAAATTCCAATCCCCTGCCTTCATTCCATAAGTGCCATGCCTGACAAAATTCATATATATTGGCCACAATTTCTAAACTGATCTGCTCATAATTTCAAAGTTTATCAGATTTAGAGTGTGAGCTTACATAAGATAGGAAGCCTAGCTGTTCTTCGTTGTGATAGAAGCTGGTACTCTTCCTACCCCTAAGAATCTCCAATAGCAAGACGCCGAAGCTATAGACATCAGATTTTTCAGAAAACATTCCGCCCATGGCATACTCCGGAGACATATAACCACTGACAAGCAATTCATTAATTAGTATTTAGCTATAATATTTCTTCTTTGTGTACTGTCTTAAGAAAAATGTTCTTCCATTAAGAGGCACAGAAATGATGCTTACAGTGTTCCCACAACCTTGTGAGTATTTGCTGGACTCCGTGTTGCTTCAATGATTCGTGACAATCCAAAATCTGAAATTTTTGGGTTCATTTTCTCATCCAAGAGAATGTTACTGACTTTCAAATCTCTATGTATTACTCTCAAACAGGAATCACGATGGAGATAAAGAAGCCCTCTAGCGACACCCTGAATAATATTGAAGCGTCTACCCCAATCAAGCACTGCTCTCTGTGTTGGATCTAATCACAATACCCATTAAAAATGTACAATTTAAAACAAATAGAACAGAGATTACCAATACCTTAGTTAAAGAACGCGACAGCTAACGAAAAGAAATTGTAGCAAGACATAAAGAGTGCCAGTGAAAGAACTAACTGAATAGAAGAGTATCCAAGCTTCTGTTTGGCATGAACTCATAAATCAGTAACTTCTCGTCATCTTTAACGCAGCAACCCAAGATCCTAACAAGATTTTTATGTTGGAGTTTGGAGATCAACAGCACTTCATTCTTGAACTCTTCCATGCCCTGCCCTGAGCTACTAGATAGTCTTTTTACTGCTATTTCCTTCCCTTCTTGCAGCTTACCCTACACGAGGCCGGTGAAAGATTAATCATTAGATTCATATCTGTATCTTGCAGTTGTATACTTGTAGGCTTGTAGCTGTTGTGATAATATAGTATAGATAGAGAAAAATATGAATGCGCAATCACCTTGTAAACAGGGCCAAATCCTCCTTCCCCGAGTTTGTTTGTGATACTGAAATTGTTCGTTGCGATTACTATGCTATCGAAATTATAGATGAACAGCTCTGATGGATCATGCTTTCCAATATATTCTTGAAGAGTGTCTCTTCCGTTCTCAATTGTATCAGTTAATTTGGCGTTTCCTGATATGGAAAACAGAAGAACAAAAAACCGAGTCAGATCAGCAGACTAACAAAAATTCAGATCAAACCAAGCATTTTTTGCTAGCTTGCTCATATCAATCACATCCGTCTCATTCTCTTACCCTTTTTATTATTAGCTTGCAACCTGTGGAAACCGAACCCTACGGCACCCAAGATACTAATCAAACAAATTGCTGTGAGGCTGGCAATTAACTTTATTGGCTTTCCTTCACCTGAAAAAATTGTATTTGTAACAGAAAAGTTGTGTAAAACATATACCTAGCTAATTGGAGCTGTACAAGTAATGTTATTATTTACCAAGTTCTGAGTGGTCCAGGCGAATAAAAAGATCTTCTCCGCCATAGGCAAATTCCTGTATATCAAGAAGGTCCTTGGACCAGACCAAACAGCCTATGTTATCAACATATGCATAAGCCAGGCAAGAACAATTTTTTAGGCACTGTGTCCTGCATTTTGGTGCATCTGAAATCGGGATCTGGATATATTCATGAAAATCTGGTACTTTTAACTGCGACATCTTCAAAAACCCATCTTCATTTCTTCTCGAAGCGACTGACTGACTTGTATTAGTCTCACAAAACAATTTGGTTTGCCTCACACACCCTCCTGTCCTGTTTCCTTTGCTCCATTCCTCGTGTGACTTTGATACAAACCCTTTCAAACACTTGCATATTGGAGTTGTTGGAGATTCAGAACGTTTGCAAACCCCAAAAGGTCCGCATGCTGCATACTGATCACATGAATTATTTTGTGATACAAAGTCAAGAATCCAGTTCTCTCCACTTTGAGAATACTTAATCTTAATTGTACCGTCTGAAGAGATGTCTATGTATGCCAACATGTCCCCGTAATTATAAGAATTATAAGAATAATACTTTGTTCCTTCCTCTGCATTATCATCTAATCTGAATCCACTTGTATATGCATCATTTGTACCTGGTAGCCCGATGAACGTTGATTTATCCCATGGCCCGGTTCTCCAGTAGAGAGTTGATCCATTAATCCAAACTACAATCTGTGATGGCACCTGTGGTGTCAATCCAACCATGAACATCCCCGTCGATGGATCACTCTCACTTTTCCAGGAAGTCAGGAAATTCGTCTCTCCAGATTTGCTATCGAACCCCAGCAGCATACTTGGTAGAAGTGTGTCACTAGGATAATCAAAACTCTGCCACAACGGTTCAGCTCCGACGTCATCATCTTTTACAACAAAGTTTCCGGTGTCTAAAAGAGCTGCAGCTGAACCATTAGATTGCACCGAAATATTCGTTGACCAAAGAGGATTCTGTTTTCCGTCTACAAGCTCCAGATTCCCCTTGCTGCTTATTCTCAAACTAGCCAAGGTGTCTGAAGCTGCAATCGGCTTTTCTCTGTTGGCCACCCATACAACTTTTCGAGGAAAAATACTCTTGTGCCATATCCCCACATACGTGTTATTACCGGAATTATTATTAGGACTGAAGAATCCCAATTCGAAAACCTGGCGGGAGGAGACAAGAGTTTGTCCCTCTGATAATGGTTGTGCAGGACTTATCTTGTAAACTTCGGCACAATGGTGCCGTGACAGAAGAAGCAAGCTGAAGAAGAATAGGAAGAACATGGAGGAATTCATAGCACTAACACTACTTTCGGTTCTAATTTGCATCTGAATGATTAAAAATTCCCTGAAAAGCAATACGATCAAACATTGAAACATTGAAATACTGTTTTGGGCTAAAATTCAGATGAAATAAATTTCTCAATAGTATGTGGATGGTAAACTTCAACTAATGCAGTCAAAGTCATGCAGAAGACTTTGATATAGATTTTGGTTCCTTCTGGACACACCTAACGTTCATTATGAGAATGCTACCACTAGTTTCTCACTCACGTGGCGAACTGAGAGCAGTTGGATCTCCTGCAGACCGAAAATATCATATATATATATATATGTATGTATGTATGTATGTATGTATGTATGTATGTACGTATGTATGTATGTATAGGGTAAATATGATTGTTGGGGTGCCTAATCCATGAACGGTGAACGGGACAAGATACATTAAGTAGATCATTACCGGTGCTACAATGTGTTTGTACTGCTGTTTAAATGTTGTTTTTTAAGAATTAAAGTGCTTTTGTTCGTGATTTTTTTTGGTAGTTTCAAATTTTACATCTTGACAATTTTATTTTATTAGCCGAGATAAGCATCCGCCTTGATCAAAATCGTTACAGAAACAAGTCAAAGGCAATCTGCATTGCGGGCAGTGTCATCTCTTTGTTTGTCGATTCATATCATGCTTGCCATTGCCATGCAAGTGTGATTTCCACATGCATGATCCATTCGTATTTATAGTGGAAAATGTAAGAAACTTATGTGAGTTTCATCAAACATTTGACAGTGTAATATTATAAGTTAAGTGAGTTATATATATTGAATTTAGCCTAACTAATGCACTAATGCAGTATCCGGAATTAAGACTTGGACAGGTTAGTGTCGTCAACCTTTAATGTAATTCTCTGCCGCTCAAGCGGAGGTGTAACTGAGTTCTGTCGCTCAAGCTGTGGTATAACTGTGTTCTGTCGCTCAAGCGGTGGTATTACTGTATTCTGCCGCTCAAGCGGTAGATTCTCCATACATAAATTAGGGTTTGATGGTTACGATCTCTAGAAGGACTAACAGAAAATATATAAGGTTCAGAAGAAGAATTCCTTAAAATATTTCGATCATCTTTCAACTCAGTCTACCACTGTGGTAATTAAATAGCAGATTTGCGGTCTACAAGATGCAGAAATTTTACATATGCAGTAACCTTACTTGTCTTTACACGTTCAATCACAAAAATCCTTTGCATTGTAATGTAACAACGTTCTATTGCTTACCGACCTTCGATCACGGTTATGGTAGCTTCATTTGCAGAGAAAATATTGTCATATTGGGGTTGAGGATCATAGACTGAGTTTCGGAAATTAGAAAATATAGGCTGCTTAGGTAGTGGAAGATCCGTCTCACTACTTAGTGTGAAAACTACGTCCGGCATGGTTGGCCTATCTTCAGACTTGTCCTGTACGCAAAGAAGTCCGATATGCATGCATCTCGTTACTTCTGATGACGAATATGAATCCGCCAATACTTCATCCAGCAAGTCCAGTCCCCTGCCTTCATTCCATAAGTGCCAAACCTGACAAAATTCATATTATGAATGTTGCCTACAATTGTTAGAATCTGCCATGTTTAGCATCTTAAAAAACACAAATCCACATGAAAATTTTGAGTGATTAGCTTACATAAGCTAAAAATCCGTGCTGTTCTTCATTGTAATAGAAGCTAGTATTCTTTTTGCCGGCGATAATCTCCAATAGCAAGACACCAAAGCTATAGACATCAGATTTTTCAGAAAATATCCCACCCATGGCATACTCGGGAGACATATAGCCACTGCACAAGCAATTCATTTGTATTAATAACTGAAAAAAATGTCTTCTCTGTTTCTGGTCTTAATAAAAGTGCCAATAATAGGAAAATAATGCGCTTACAGTGTTCCCACAACCTTGTGAGTGTTTGCTAGACTCTGTGTCGCTTCAATGATTCGTGCCAATCCAAAATCTGAAATTTTTGGGTTCATATTCTCATCCAAGAGAATGTTACTAACCTTCAAATCTCTATGGATTACCTTCAAACGGGAATCGTGGTGGAGATAAAGAAGCCCTCTAGCAACTCCCTGAATAATATTGAAGCGTCTAGCCCAATCAAGCTCTGCTCTGCGCTTTGGATCTAATCAATATATCCATAAAAAGTGCAACCAATAATAGTAACAAAATCATAAGTAGTGGGGGATTACAAAGAGCTAAAGAATTGCCAATTATGGTGACAAAAGAAAAAAATGTAATAAAGAGAATTTTCATCCAAACATAAAAAGTGGCAGTGAAACTAACCGAATAGAAGAGTATCCAAGCTTCTGTTAGGCATGAACTCATAAATCAGTAACTTTTCATCGTCTTTGACGCAGCAGCCCATGATCCTAACAAGATTTTTGTGTTGGAGTTTGGAGATCAACAGCATCTCATTCTTGAACTCCTCTATGCCTTGCCCCGAGCTACTAGATAGCCGTTTTACTGCTATTTCCTTTCCTTCTTGTAGCTTACCCTACATATTAAACATTCGATTTATGTCTGTGTCTTGTAGTTTTAGGCTTCTAGCCGGTGTTAAATACACTATGTTTTCCTTTTGGAATTGAAATAAATAAATAAACAGTCACCTTGTAAACAGGGCCGAAACCTCCTTCCCCGAGTTTGTTCATGGTGCTGAAATTGCTTGTGGCATTCACTATGCTGTCAAAATCATAGATGAATAGCTCCGATGGATCATGTTTTCGTATGTATTCTTGAAGATTGTCCCTTGAATCATCACTTGTATGATTCAACTGCATTAACTTCGTTTTTTCTTTTGTGTTCCCTGTTTCGAAAATATAACCATCACAACAAGGTTATCAAGTAGTGGATATCAATCAGGAAATATGTTCTTGGGAAGTTATGTGTGGAAGTTGTATACTAATTTGAATAATGCATCAGCTGCTATAACTCTATGTTATTCTCTTACCTGTTTTTTTATGGCGCAGTCTCTGAACACCGAACGCTATGGCACTCAAGATACTGATAAAACCAACAGCAGTGAGGCTGGCAATTAGCTTTACTGGCTTTCCTTCGTCTGAAAAACAAATGAATTTATAAATTGCAATGAATAAAGTATGAGACAGAAAATAAAAGATACTTCTAATTATAATTCTGCAGGAAATAATTCTCATTTGTTTACCTAATTCTCCATTTGCTAGGCGAATATAAAGATCGTTCCCGTCAGAGGGAAACTCTTGTATATCAATAAGGTCACTGGACCAGACCAAACACCCTATATTATTAACTTGCGCATAAGCCTGACAAGAACAATTATTTAGGCATCGTATCTTGCACTCGTCAGCCTCCAGATTTTCGATAAGCTCATGAAAATCTGGTAGCTTTAATCCCACCATCTTCCGAAACCCATCTTGTTTTCCTCCTGAAGCCAATGACCTGCTTGTGTTACTCTGATCACAAAACAATTCGGTGTGCCTCACACACCCTCCAGTCCTGTTTCCGTTGCTCCATTCCTCATTTGATTTTGGTACAAACCCTTTCAAACACTCGCACTTTGGATTTGGAGATTCAGAACCTTTGCAGACACCATAAACTCCACATGTTGCATAAATGTCACATGGATTCACCGGTGCCTCCCAGTTAAGCCACCAGTTGCTGCCATTGTCCGAAAGCTTAAGACTCAGTACTCCGTCCGAAGAGACGCCAAGATATGAAAGCGTTTTGTCATAAAACCTGTAAGAAAAAGATTTTGTTCCCTGGTTCACATCATCATTTAGAGTGAATCCACTTAGATATTGATTATTCATATCCGGTACCCCGATGAAACTTGATTTATCCCATGCCCCACTTCTCCAGTAGGGTTTCGATTCATTAATCCAAATGAACACTTGTGATGGAACGTCCTGTGAAAGTCCAGCCAAGAACAAGCCAGCTGATGGATCACTCTCACTTTTCCAGGCTTTCAGTAAACTTCGCTTTCCGGATTTGCTATCGAATCCCAGCAGCACCATATTTGGTAGAAGTGTGTCACTAGGATAATCAAAACTCTGCCACAATGGATCAGCTCCGACATCGTCATCTTTTACGACAAGATTTCCGCTGTCCAATAGCTCTGCAGCTGAACCATTAGATGGCACCGAAATATTCGTTGACCAAAGAGAATTCTGCTTCCCATCTACAAGCTCCAGATTCCCATTGCTGCTAATTGTCAAATTAGCCAAGGTATCTGAAGCTGCGAGAGGATTTTCTCTGTTGGCAACCCATACAACTTTCCTCGGAGATATGTTCGTGTGCCATATCCCCACGTACTTGTTAACCGAACCATTAGGAGTGAAGAACCCCAATTCGAAAATGCGGCTGGGGGAGACAAGGGTTTGTGTCTGTGAAAATGGTTGTGACGGAGTTATTTCATAAACTTCAGCACAATGATGCTGTGACAGAAGCAAGCTGAACAAAATTAGGACGAACATGGTGGAATCGAAAATAGTACCAACGGTTTCGCTTCCAAACCCCATTTGAATTCTAATGCGTTTTCTAGAAAAAGAAAGGTGAAGAGTATCTGTAAATTTCGTTGAGAGAAAATGACTTTTCAATTTTGTTGTAAGGAAAAGTCTACCATTGCTCTCAAAGTCAAAGGCAGAAAATTTTGTTGTACATGTTTGACATTTGACTGAAAACGTAGTCCTCTATCTTTTGCGTATCTTCTTTTTTATATATACAAAGACGGGGGCCCATGTTGGGGTAACCCTCTTCGACAAAATTTTGTGGACACAAATACCCCTCAGCCAAAAAAATTTCAAAGCAATAAAAAAGAATGCAGAAAATAAAGCAAGGGTAATTTTGTAAATTTATTTTTTAATAATATCTTGCCTTTTCAATCAGTCTACAGTCTTCCACCGCTTCATTCTAGCTCGGTGCCTTATGCTTCTGTCATTCTCTCTCTAAAAGATTCTGCCTTCTCTCTCTAAAAGTCCTCTCTCTCCTCCTTCGCCATACCCAAGCATTTCTCTGTCAGTTTGCTTTCCTCATTTAGCAGCTGCACTGCTGTTCTTCCTCTCCTCCTCCTTAATTCTTCCACTCCAAAAACTTCATTTCATCTTAACTTTTTCATACGGCAACGAAATCGCACAAGGTCGGAGCCTATAGATTCATATCAGAACCTTCTTCCATCTGATATGACACCCACACCTCAAAATCAACTGTGGTCAAAGATTGGAGCCTAGAACAATGACGGCTTTTGGCGGAGTTTTGCTGATTCCGCCCAATCCCACCGGAATTTGGTCTTGGCCCAAGAGAGAAAGTTGATCCTCTCCTGACGATCTTTCTACCTATACTTGAGTTCATTGAGTGAAACGAAAGTTAATTTTTTTTTATTTTTTGATTTGTGAGTTTGTGAGTTTTTTATTTTTTTTATTTTTTGTGCAGGTAAAGGATGAACCCAGAAGAGATATGTTTACTAAAGGACTTGATAGGAGCGCCCTTCATTGGGTTAGAGAGGTTTTTCTCTCTCTCTCTCTCTCACTCTCTCTCTCTCTCCTTCTCCAACTGTAAAAGGTTGTATGAAGATCGTCTTTTTTTACCTTTTCTTTGCTTTAAAGTGATACAGGCAGAAGGAATCACCACCCAATCAGTAAAAAAAAAAAAATGCAGAGCTTCAAAGCAGCGTCAACAAACCCAGAATTCTACTCCCACTCTTACTTCTATTTCAGGTCTCTCTCTCTCCCTTCTTCTTACTGTTTTTGTTTACGTTTTTTTCTTCTACTGGTTTTGTTTTAATGGCGTATGAGAAATGGGTTGTGCGTAAAAAAACATAAAGTCTTGAAATTTATGGGAGTATACAAATTTTTAGCAGTAAAAGATAAACCCAATTGCTCTGTTTTTTCTACGATGTGAAAAAACAGGAGAGACGACAGTGATTGGAACCAAACGCGTTTTACGGATCTTAGACAGCTTGAACAGTCTATTACCGCCTTCCCTCACAATGATGCTGTTGTTTTAAGCCCAAGTATCCTTTCTTTCTCTCTCTCTTTCTCTCATTTCTGTCTCTTTCCCTCTCTAACATATGGGTTTTAATCTGGTGTAGGCTCCATGTTCAGCTTAAAAGCTAACAATGTTGGCCGTGTACCTGATAGACTTGCACTACGGGACCTTGAACGTTGGCGGGTGTTTGGACATAGGATCAACTATAACCAGAGGAAGAAGGTGTATGGACATAGGACATCAGCAGCCATACATGTACTAGCAACAGAAAGGGACGATGACATCTGGAAACGGACAATTTGAGAAATAGCCAGCAGACTGACACTCATACGTATGTTGACACCGATGACAAAAACCTTGTATCACCATCTCTCTCTGTGGTCTCTGTTTCATGAGCATATGTGTTTGCTAGACTGCTACCATACTTTTTCATTGGAATCTTTCTATAGCCTTAGTGGAATTGAGAATCATTTGGAATTTGGAATTTTGGATTACCATCCATGTTGTTTCAAGCTTCAATCAATGTGTAGACGTTTGTTTGGTCAGTTGGGCTGATGGCTCGGCCCCTTTGCATTATAGTTCGAATCTCCCTCCCGTAAATTATAGTAATTTAGAATATCGCTTTGTTAGTTAAAACGATAGTTTCCAGAATGTTTTCAATTCAACTACTAGCTTAATAACATGGCCCATATCTAAGTTGATCTGCTTTAATCTGCATATTTTACTGTAAACTTTATTAAGCTTTCTAATTTTTATTGTCAGTGGATTAATGTGAGATACGATTTTGTTATAGCTTCATGGAGTGCAGAATGGAGCACTAATGGTAGTGGATTCCATATAGCAGGCAAAGGAAAGAACTACTGGTGACCAAAAGGTTAGAATATTTGGATTATTGATAAACGTGATTTTATTAGGAAGTAATTTTCAATCTTAAATGCTAATCCGATTAAACTAACTTATCTGCAGACACTACGTAGGCTGGCCCAGAACAGAGAAGCAGCAAGGAAGAGTCGCCTAAGGAAGAAGGTATACATCTTTACTTTCCATCAGCACGTATTTGAATGTCTTTTTTCTTTTTAATTTCATCGAGAGAGCTTTCCTATACCTTTTTAGGCTGTGACATCTTAGACTAATTATATAACGTCATGTGAGAGCGTTAAAACATATGGGATCACGTTATTTGTTTGGCGTGACACACTGGCATACCGGGGTGTAGATCTGTGACCCAGCTCTAAATCTTTTAGCTATGTTGGAACAAAATCTTTGTATCAACCCTGAAGATTCACTGCCAGGTCTATAAAAATTAGGTTTGTCTTAAATGCTTCTCAGCCTTCTCATTCTCTTTCAATAGCAAAGGCCTATTTTTTTGGCCTCCCTCCCCTTTTTCACTTCTCTTTTGGTTTAATTTTATGGATTTTTGGCATCTGATTTTGGTTTTTGATGTTTTCTCAGTGATTAACTTCTTTGGTGTTTATTTTTCGATGTTTTCTCAGTGGTACGGTGACTGCCAGAATTACTGGGTTTTCAATTTTATTAGAATCGATTTTTAAGTCGCCGGGTTTGTATTTTTTTGTGAGTTTTGTGATTTTCTTAGTGGCTTTAGTTCCTTTTTTGGTTTTTATCTGCTGTTGTAATGTTTTTGTAATAGAGGTGAGTAATTTACATTTTTTTTTTCAAGCATTTCTCTAACGAAGTAATAATTTTTTATGAATGTTGTGAGACTTCACTTTTATATAATCTAATGCATAAATGTGTTTGATGTTATTTTATGAATATGTTAAATGGGTTAAGATGCAGTCGTTCTTTACAGTGTATAAAAGATAGTTAGCTGTTGTTTTTTGTGTGTTTGGGGATTTTATTAGATTTGAAAAAGACGGAGACGAAATTAATTTCAAACAAATTAAAGAATGCAAAATTTTGGTTATTTGGTCATTGATTTATTAATTGGTAATGAGCTATACAACATTTTTATTTTAATTGTGAGAACAACTTCCGAATGACTTCCTTCAAAAGCTGTTTTACTGTACTATATGAAAATTTTGACCTGTATGTCACCGAAGCCAATACCTGAAATGGGCAAATTTCTTGGGCCAAACCTGTTTAAGTTGACTTTAATGTGCTGGAAGAAATGGAGGAATTTTACTGGCGCTTGGCTAAGTTGACTTGACTCAGCAGGATCAGGGCAATCTCAGAATTGGGCAATCTCAGAATTGTCAAACAAAACCTTTGACTTCCTAGTCTTAAATAGTTTTTGACTTGATATTAATTTGGTTCGCAGCCTGACCCAACCCAATTACATGTGAAAGGACAGGTCATAGCTCTAACAATTAGAGAGATATAGTGACTCTTGCTGCCTTCTTAATTCTCATTCTCCTATTGTGTACAATGCACTTGATCTTTTGTGTTATTTGATACTTTTTTTTAGTTGTTCTTGACAGCTTGCGTGATGCTTATTGAATAAAAAAGGTTTTCGATATACTGTGCTTTCACGTTTCAGCATCTTTCTGTTTTTGTTTTAAGGATTTTTGCACTAAAGGTGAGTGATTCTAAAATTAGGGAATTGTTAACATCAGTCTCCGAAAAAACAAAATTTTTCACTGGATATAATGTGATCAGTTCCTTTGACAAATACAGGTGTTTGAAAATTTTCAACTCTGCATGTTGTGAAAAAAAAAAAAAAAAAAAAAAGGTTTCGAAATACTATGCTTTCACGTTTCTGCATCATTTCCTTTCTGTTTTAAGGATTTCGGCACTAAAGGTGAGTGATCTAAAATTAGAGAATTGTTAACATCACATTTTAAGCATATTTTTTCGTTCTGTTTTTTAAGTTTGAATAAACTTTGGTATTCCTTTTAGCTTTTATCGTGTTTAAATTGAAGTCTTAATTTCGGTGGTTTGTTAATAATTAGTGTGTTATGTTGTTTTACTATGTGTTTTATGTGTTTGTTAATTATGGGAGTCTTCACAAGAAATGTTATGTATAAAGATATTTTGCTTTCATCAAATATATGATAAGGTTATATTCATTCTTTTAATTTTTAATTCACTTTTCAAATCCGCGTAGATAAATACATTTAAATTGTATAAGTTGCGTGTAGAACGTTGTAATTATAAAAAAAGCCTTCCCTGCGCAAGGAGGCTAGTATCTATATATAAAGCCAATGAAAAAGGTGAATAGTTATTTTGGTGTTACCAAACTTCAACAAAAATGTTTGGACAAAAATGCCGCCAAGATAAAAACTTCAAAGGCATCTCAAAATAATGCATCAAATAAGGTAGGGGACATTTTCATCATTTGAATAGTATTTTTTTAATAATTATTTTTTTGTGGTTTTTTATTTGTACCTTACAATAAGTTAGCAATAATGTGATTCAATTTCTCTATTTTTAAACACGTTCAAAACATCTTAAGAGACGTATAATGCCGGTTATAAAAAAAGTTATTCACACGCGGATAATAATGTGATTAAATTAGTTGTCAAGTGATTGTTTTTTTTTAACAAATGATATTATCGACACTAATGGGGAGGAGAGTGGGCTTAGCCTCACAATAAGTTAGCAATAATGTGATTTAATCAGTTGTTTATTAAATATTATTTTCTCTATTTTAAACACGTACAAAACATCTTAAGAGGCGTGGTTATAAAAATTAAAAAAAAAAAAAAATCATTCTCATGCGGATAATAATGTGATTAAATTAGTTGTCAAATGATTTTTTTTTTTTTTAACAAACGATATTATCTATACTAAGAGGGAGGGAGTGAGTTTAGCTTCACAATGGGCTAGCAATAATGTGATTCAATAAGTTGTTTATTAAATATTATTTTCTTTATTTTTAAACATGTTCAAAACATCTTTAGAGGCTTGTAATGCCGGTTATAAAAAAAGGTTTTTTGCACGCGGATAGTAGTGTGATTAAATTACATTAAATTAGTTGTCAAATGGTTTTTTTTTTTATCAAACGATATTATCTACATTAAGGGGGAGGTGGTGGGTTTAGTCTCATAATAGGCTAACAATAATGTGATTCAATAAGTTGTTTATTAAATTTTTTTTTTCTCTATTTTTAAACACGTTCAAAACATCTTAAGAGGCGTGTAATGCTGGTTACAAAAAAAAAGGTCTTTTGCATGCGGATAATAACGTGATTAAATTAGTTGTCAAATGATTTTTTTTTTTTTTTAACAAATGATATTATCTACACTAAGGGTAGGGGGTGGGCTTACTTCACAATGAGTTATCAATAATGTGATTTAATCAATTGTTTATTAAATATTATTTTCTCTATTCTTAATGTAAATTCTATAGAGATCGATTTTATTATGTGAATTCAGTTGCTTTAATTGGTTTATGGAGAGTTTCTTCTAACATGATCTACGATTATTCATTTATTTCAAATATTTGACATTCCTTTTGTCAATTTACAAATATAAATACATTTAAAATGTATAAGTTACGCGTAGCATGCCGCAATTCAAAAAATATCTCACTCGTGTGCACGAAGGCTAGTAAAATAATATGAGAATATGTGGGTTACTCCGTTTCAATGTTACAGCTTCGGATTAGAGAAGTAAATAGCATGCACTTAGCATTTGAAACATCATGTGTGTACTTACAAATGCAATAAGGCTCAAGTGTTCCTTTGATCGAAAGCCAGTGTTCCTTCTGCCACTTACAATCTCTGGCAGCAATACCCGAAAGCTATAAACATCCCACTCTACTGAAAACAGACCTTCTATTGCATATTCAGGTGATATATAACCCTCGCAGTATGAATATAGTGATTAGATCAATAAAGCTTTTTAACATGAGATAAATACCGGAACTATTATTAGGACTGAAGAATCCCAATTCGAAAACCTGGCCGGGAGAGACAAGAGTTTGTCCCTCAGAAAATGGTTGTGCAGGACTTATCTCGTAAACTGCGGCACAATGGTGCCGTGACAGAAGAAGCAAGCTGAAGAAGAATAGGAAGAACATGGAAGAATTCAAAGCATTAACACTACTTTTGGTTCTAATTTGCATCTGAATGATTAAAAATTCCTTGAAAAGCTGTAAGATCCCACATCACCCAAAGGAGTGATCCTTATATATATATATATATATATTCTCATCCCTACCTAGCACAAGGTCTTTTGGGAGCTCACTAGCTTTGGGTTCTGTCGGAACTCCGAACTTAAGCGAGTAGCACGCGAGAGCACTCCCATGATGGGTGACCTACTAGGAAGTTCTCGTCTGAGTTCTCAGAAACAAAACCGTGAGGGCGTGGTCGGGATCCAAAGTAGATAATATCGTGTTACGGTGGAGTCGAACCCGGGTTGTGATGGGGGCTCAGACCGAGATGTGACAAAAGCAATGCGAACGAACATTGAAATACTATTTTGTGCTAAAATTGAGTATGTGGATGATTCACATTTCAAACATAGGTGTCCCTGTTTCAGGGTGCCTAATTCATGAACGATGAACGGGACAAGATATATTGTGTAGATCATTACCGGTGAGATGATGTGTTTGTACTGCTGCTTAAAGCCTTAAAGGTTGTTTTCTGAGAATTAAAATGCTTTTATTTGTGGGTTTTTTTTTTCTTAGTTCCAAATTTTACATCTTGAAAATTTTATTTTACTATCCGCCTTGATCAAAATTGTTACAAAAACAAGTCTAGGCAGTGTCATCACTTTGTTTGTCCATCCATATCATGCTATGTGTGATTTCCATGCATGATCCATTCGTAATTTTAGTAGCAAATAATGATGTAGAACAAATGGCAGACTAGATTGAAGAGGAAATGGACCATTGGAAGATAAACGTATGCAGCGGAAATTTGCAGATCGGTGTCCGAGCTTTGATTTGGGCTCGTGATACCTTTTCGGAAAGAAAGCGACGCTACAAGTCCAACTCACTTCTTTGCTATGAAGTACGGTGGCTTTTGGTGATCCGGGATTGTTTCAGCCTCCAAAACGGCGTTTAAAGTTTCGTATGAAAAATCAGACCTTGTTTCTCCATCCTATTAGTGTTTAATTAATGTTATTTTAATTTCTAGAAGTCCTTTGAGTTGCTCCAAACGTTTGTAAACTTTATTTAAGTCATCTAGATGTAATCATTTGGGCATTCAAGAATTAATCAAACACAACCTTTCGGGATTTCTCTCGATTTTTTGGTGAATTCAAAGTTTGTTCTCCAAAGTATTACGTTGGTAACCCATTCATCACGTTGTGCTGCGTCAAATAAGATTAAGAAGAAAGAATTCATTGAACAAAATGTTTCGATTATCTGTCACCTCAGTCTACCATTGAAATTGTGAAATTGTTTGAGGATAATAATCCATCGCCGTGTACTAAATAGCAGATTTTGCGGTCTACAAGCTGCAGAACTTTTACAGGTGCAATAACCCTACTTATACTTACACGTGCAATCACCAAAATCCATTGCATTGTGATGTAACAACGTTCTATTGCTTACCGACCTTCGATCACGGTTATGGTATCTTCATTTGCAGATGAAATATTGTCATATTTGGGTTGAGGATTAGAGACAGAGATTCGGAAATAAGAAAATATAGGCTGCTTAGGTAGTGGAAGATCCGTCTCACTACTTAGTGTGAAAACTACGTCCGGCATGGTTGGCCTATCTTCAGACTTGTCCTGCACGCAAAGGAGTCCGATGTGCATGCATCTCATTACTTCTGAGGACGAATATGAATCCACCAATACTTCATCTAGCAAGTCCAGTCCCCTGCCTTCATTCCATAAGTGCCAAACCTGACAAAACTCATATTGTAAATGTTGCCTACAATTGTTAGAATCTGCTATATTTAGCATCTTAAAAACACAAATCCAAATGAAGATTTTGAGTGATTAGCTTACATGAGCTAAGAATCCGTGCTGTTCCTCGTTGCAATAGAAGCTAGTATTCTTTTTGTTGGCGATAATCTCCAATAGCAAGACGCCAAAGCTATAGACATCAGATTTTTCAGAAAATATCCCACCCATGGCATACTCTGGAGACATATAACCACTGCAAAAGCAATTCGTTTGTATTAATAACTGGACAAAAATGTCTTCTCTGTTTCTGGTCTTAAGAAAAATGCCAATAATAGGAAAAGAATGATGCTTACCGTGTTCCCACAACCTTGTGAGTATTTGCTAGACTCTGTGTCGCTTCAACGATTCGTGCCAATCCAAAATCTGAAATTTTTGGGTTCATATTCTCATCCAGGAGAATGTTACTAACCTTCAAATCTCTATGGATTACCTTCAAACGGGAATCGTGGTGGAGATAAAGAAGTCCCCTAGCAACTCCCTGGATAATATTGAAGCGTGTAGCCCAATCAAGCTCTTCTCTGCGCTTAGGATCTAATCAATAAATCCATATAAATGTAAGCAATAACAGTAACAGAATCATAAGTAGTGGGGGATTACAAAGAGCTAAGGGATTGCCAATTACGGTAACAAAGGAACAATATGTAACAATGAGAAATTTCATAGAAACATGAAAAGTGGCAGTGAAACTAACCAAATAGAAGAGTATCCAAGCTTCTGTTCGGCATGAATTCATAAATCAGTAACTTTTCATCGTCTTTGATGCAGCAGCCCATGATCCTAACAAGATTCTTGTGTTGGAGTTTGGAGATCAACAGCATCTCATTCTTGAACTCCTCCATGCCTTGCCCCGAGCTACTGGATAGTCTTTTTACTGCTATTTCCTTCCCTTCTTCTAGCTTACCCTACAAATATAAATTAAACATTCAACTCATGCCTGTAACTTGTAGTTGTAGGCTTCTAGCCGGTGTTCAAAACACTATAATTTCCTTTAGAATTTGAAATGAATAAACAAGTATATAGTCACCTTGTAAACAGGGCCGAAACCTCCTTCCCCGAGTTTGTTCGTGGTGCTGAAATTATTTGTAGCAGTTAATATGCTGTCAAAGTCGTAGATGAATAGCTCCGATGGATCATGTTTTCTTATGTATTCTTGAAGATTGTCACCTGAATTATCACTTGTATGATACAACCGCATTAACTTTGTTTTTCCTTTCATGTTCCCTATTTCAAAAATATAGCAATCACAACAAGGTTATTGAGTAATGGATATCAATCAGTAAATATGTTCTTGTGATGTTATGCATGGAAGTTATATACTAATTTGAACAATGCATCAGCTGCTATCACTCTATGTTATTCTCTTACTGGTTTTAATGGAACGCAGTCTCTGCACGCTAAATGCTATGGCACTCAAGATACTGATAAAACCAACAGCAGTGACGCTGACAATTAGCTTTACTGGCTTTCCTTCATCTGAAAAAATGAATTTATGAATTGCAATGAGTAAAGTATGAGGCAGAAAATAAAAGATACTTATTATAATTCTGCAGGAAACAATTCTTGTTTGTTTACCTAATGCTCCGTGTGCTAGGCGAATATAAAGATCGTTCCCACCAGAGGAAAATTCTTGTATATCAATAAGGTCACTGGACCAGACCAAACACCCTATATTATTAACTTGCGCATAAGCCTGACAAGAACAATTATTTAGGCATCGTATCTTGCACTCGTCAGTCCCCAGTTTTTCGATAAGCTCATGGAAATCTGGTAGCCTTAATCCCGCCATCTTCCAAAACACATCTTCTTTGCCTCCCGAAGCAAATGACCTGCTTGTGTTACTCTGTTCACAAAACAATTCGGTGTGCCTAACACACCCCCCAGTCCAGTTTCCATTGCTCCATTCCTCATTTGATTTCGGTACGAACCCTTTCAAACACTCGCAATTTGGGTTTGGAGATTCAGAACCTTTGCAGACACCGTTAACTCCACATGTTCCATAAATTTCACATGGATTCACCAGTGCCTCCCAGCTTAGCCACCAGTTGCTGCCATTGTCCGAAAGCTTAAGACTCAGTACTCCGTCTGAAGAGATGCCAATATATGAAAGGGTAGTGTCAAAAAACCTATAAGAAAAATATTTTGTTCCCAGGTTCACATCATCATTTAGAGTGAATCCACTTAGATACTGACTATCCATATCCGGTACCCCGATGAACATGGATTTATCCCATGCCCCACTTCTCAAGTAGGGTTTTGATTCATTAATCCAAACGAACAGTTGTGATGGAACCTGCCGTGAAAGTCCAACCAAGAACCAGCCAGCTGATGGATCACTCTCACTTTTCCAGGCTTTCAAGAAACTACGCCTTCCGGATTTACTATCGAATCCCAGCTGCATAGTTGGTAGAAGTGTGTCACTAGGATAATCAAAACTCTGCCACAAAGGATCAGCTCCTACATCATCATCTTTTACGACAAAGTTTCCGGTGTCCAAAAGCTCTGCAGCTGAACCATTAGATGGCACCGAAATGTTTGTTGACCAAAGAGAATACTGCTTCCCATCTACAAGCTCCAGATTCCCATTGCTAATAATTGTCAAATTAGCCAAGGTATCTGAAGCTGCAATAGGATTTTCTCTGTTGGCAACCCATACAACTTTACGCGGAGATATGTTCGTGTGCCATATCCCCACGTACTTGTTAACCGAACCATTCGGAGTGAAGAACCCCAATTCGAATATGCGGCTGGGGAGACAAGGGTTTGTGTCTGTGAAAATGGTTGCGACGGAGTTATTTTATAAACTTCAGCACAATTATGCTGTGACAGAAGCAAGCTGAAGAAGATTAGGAAGAACATGGTGGAACCGAAAATACTGTTTCGTTTCCAAACACCATTTGAATTCTAATACGTTTTCTAGAAAAAGAAAGGTGAAGAGTATCTGGGAAAAAAAAACAAAAAAAAAAAAAAATGAAATCGTTGGGAGAAATTGACTTTTCAATTTTGTTACAAGGAAAAGTCTACCATTGCTCTCAAAGTCAAAGGCAGAAAACTTTGAAAAATCAGATATAGTTCGTTGTAGATGTTTGACATTTCACTGAAAACGTAGTCCACTATCTTTGCATATACAATAGTATGGGAATATGCGGGAGACTGAAAACATTCCAACGTGTCGTTCCAATGTTACAGCCACGGATTAGAGAAGTAAATAGCGTGCACTGAGCATTTGAAACATTTTGTGTGTACTTACAAATGCAATAGGTCTCAAGTGTTCCTTTGATCGAAAGCTAGTGTTCCTTCTGCCGCTTACAATCTCTGGCAGCAATACCTGAAAGCTATAAACATCCCACTTTACTGAAAACAGACCTTCTATTGCATATTCAGGTGATATATAACCCCTGCAGTATGAATATAGTGATTAGATCTATAAAGCTTTTAACATGAGATAAATACCGGAACTATTATTAGGACTGAAGAATCCCAATTCGAAAACCTGGCCGGGAGAGACAAGAGTTTGTCCCTCAGATAGTGGTTGTGCAGGACTTATCTCGTGAACTGCGGCACAATGGTGCCGTGACAGAAGAAGCAAGCTGAAGAAGAATAGGAAGATGGAGGAATTCAAAGCATTAACTCTACTTTCGGTTCTACTTTGCATCAGAATAATTAAAATTCCCTGGAAAGAAATACGAACGAACATTGAGATACTGTTTTGGGCTAAAATTGAGTATGTGGTGATTCACATTTCAAACATAGGTGTCCCTGTTTCAAGCATATCGGTAAACTTCAACCAATGCTGTCAAAGTGATGCACAAGACTTCGATATATATTTTGGCTCCTTCTGTACATATCTAACGGTTCATTGCTACGATTAGTTTCTCGCCTCACGTGGTGAACTGAGAGCAGTTGGATCTCCTGCAGACTGAAATTATCATATGCATATGTAGTCTTTTTTTTTGGTAAATATGATTGTTGGGGTGCCTAATTCATGAACGATGAACGGGACAAGATATATTGTGTAGATCATTACTGGTGAGACGATGTGTTTGTACTGCTGCTTAAGGCCTTAAAGGTTGTTTTCTGAGAATTAAAATGCTTTTATTTGTGGGGCTTTTTTTTTTCATAGTTTCAAATTTTACATCTTGAAAATTTTATTTTACCATCCGCCTTGATCAAAATTGTTACAAAAACAAGTCTAAGGCGATCTGCACCGTGGGCAGTGTCATCACTTTGTTTGTCCATCCATATCATGCTATGTGTGATTTCCATGCATGATCCATTCGAAGTTTTAGTAGAAAATAATGATGTAGAACAAATGGCAGACTAGATTGAAGAGGAAAGTGACCATTGGAAGATAAAAGGACGCAACGGAAATTTGCAGATTCGATGTTCAAGTTCCGATTTGGGCCCGTGATACCTTTTCAGAAAGGAAACGACGCTACAAGTCCAACTCACTTCTTTGCTGTGAAGTACAGTGGCTTTAGGTGATCTGGGATTGTTTCAGCCTCCAAAACGGCATTTAAAGTTTCATATTAAAAATCAGACCTTGTTTCTCCATCCTATTAGTGTTTAGTTAATGTTATTTTAATTTCTAGAAGTCCTTTGAGTTGCTCCAAACGTTTGTAAACTTTATTTGTGTCATCTAGATGTAATCATTTGGGCATTCGAGAATTAATCAAACCATTGAAATTGTGAAATTGTTTGAGGATAATAAACCGTTGCCGTGTACTAAATAGCATTTTACACGTGCAATAACCCTACTTATACGTGCACGTGCAATCACTAAAATCCATTGCATTGTGATGTAACAACGTTCTATTGCTTACCGACCTTCGATCACGGTTATGGTATCTTCATTTGCAGATGAAATATTGTAATATTTGGGTTGAGGATTAGAGACTCGGAAATAAGAAAATATAGGCTGCTTAGGTAGTGGAAGATCCGTCTCACTACCTAGTGTGAAAACTACGTCCGGCATGGTAGGCCTATCTTCAGACTTGTCCTGCACGCAAAGGAGTCCGATGTGCATGCATCTCATTACTTCTGAGGACGAATATGAATCCACCAATACTTCATCTAGCAAGTCCAGTCCCCTGCCTTCATTCCATAAGTGCCAAACCTGACAAAAGTCATATTGTAAATGTTGCCTACAATTGTTAGAATCTGCTATATTTAGCATCTTAAAAACACAAATCCAAATGAAGATTTTGAGTGATTAGCTTACATGAGCTAAGAATCCGTGCTGTTCCTCGTTGCAATAGAAGCTAGTATTCTTTTTGTTGGCGATAATCTCCAATAGCAAGACGCCAAAGCTATAGACATCAGATTTTTCAGAAAATATCCCACCCATGGCATACTCTGGAGACATATAACCACTGCAAAAGCAATTCGTTTGTATTAATAACTGGACAAAAATGTCTTCTCTGTTTCTGGTCATAAGAAAAATGCCAATAATAGGAAAAGAATGATGCTTACCGTGTTCCCACAACCTTGTGAGTATTTGCTAGACTCTGTGTCGCTTCAACAATTCGTGCCAATCCAAAATCTGAAATTTTTGGGTTCATATTCTCATCCAGGAGAATGTTACTAACCTTCAAATCTCTATGGATTACCTTCAAACGGGAATCGTGGTGGAGATAAAGAAGTCCCCTAGCAACTCCCTGGATAATATTGAAGCGTGTAGCCCAATCAAGCTCTTCTCTGCGCTTAGGATCTAATCAATAAATCAATAAAAATGTAAGCAATAACAGTAGCAAAATCATAAGTAGTGGGGGATTTCAAAGAGCTAAGGGATTGCCAATTATGGTAACAAAAGAACAAAATGTAACAATGAGAAATTTCATTGAAACATGAAAAGTGGCAGTGAAACTAACCAAATAGAAGAGTATCCAAGCTTCTGTTCGGCATGAATTCATAAATCAGTAACTTTTCATCGTCTTTGACAGCAGCAGCCCATGATCCTAACAAGATTCTTGTGTTGGAGTTTGGAGATCAACAGCATCTCATTCTTGAACTCCTCCATGCCTTGCCCCGAGCTACTGGATAGTCTTTTTACTGCTATTTCCTTCCCTTCTTCTAGCTTACCCTACAAATATAAATTAAACATTCGATTCATGTCTGTAACTTGTAGTTGTAGGCTTCTAGCCGGTATTGAAAACACTATAATTTCCTTTAGAAATTGAAATGAATAAACAAGTGTATAGTCACCTTGTAAACAGGGCCGAAACCTCCTTCCCCGAGTTTGTTCGTGGTGCTGAAATTGTCTGTAGCAGTTAATATGCTGTCAAAGTCATAGATGAATAGCTCCGACGGATCATGTTTCCTTATGTATTCTTGAAGATTGTCACCTGACTTATCACTTGTATGATTCAACTGCATTAACTTTGTTTTTCCTTTCATGTTCCCTGTTTCAAAAATATAGCAATCACAACAAGGTTATCGAGTAATGGATATCAATCAGTAAATATGTTCTTGTGAAGTTATGCATGGAAGTTATATACTAATTTGAACAACGCATCAGCTGCTATCACTCTATGTTATTCTCTTACCGGTTTTAATAGAACGCAGTCTCTGCACGCCAAATGCTATGGCACTCAAGATACTGATAAAACCAACAGCAGTGACGCTGGCAATTAGCTTTACTGGTTTTCCTTCATCTGAAAAAATGAATTTATCAATTGCAATGAGTAAAGTATGAGGCAGAAAATAAAAGATACTTATTATAATTCTGCAGGAAACAATTCTTGTTTGTTTACCTAATGCTCCGTGTGCTAGGCGAATATAAAGATCGTTCCCGCCAGAGGAAAACTCTTGTATATCAATAAGGTCACTGGACCAGACCAAACACCCTATATTATTAACTTGCGCATAAGCCTGACAAGAACAATTATTTAGGCATCGTATCTTGCACTCGTCAGCCCCCAGTTTTTCGATAAGCTCATGGAAATCTGGTAGCCTTAATCCCACCATCTTCCAAAACACATCTTCTTTGCCTCCCGAAGCAAATGACCTGCTTGTGTTACTCTGTTCACAAAACAATTCGGTGTGCCTAACACACCCTCCAGTCCAGTTTCCATTGCTCCATTCCTCATTTGATTTCGGTACAAACCCTTTCAAACACTCGCAATTTGGGTTTGGAGATTCAGAACCTTTGCAGACACCGTAAACTCCACATGTTCCATAAATTTCACATGGATTCACCAGTGCCTCCCAGCTTAGCCACCAGTTGCTGCCATTGTCCGAAACCTTAAGACTCAGTACTCCGTCTGAAGAGATGCCAATGTATGAAAGGGTATTGTCAAAAAACCTATAAGAAAAATATTTTGTTCCCTGGTTCACATCATCATTTAGAGTGAATCCACTTAGATATTGACTATCCATATCCGGCACCCCGATGAACCTGGATTTATCCCATGCCCCACTTCTCCAGTAGGGTTTTGATTCATTAATCCAAACGAACAGTTGTGATGGAACCTGCCGTGAAAGTCCAACCAAGAACCAGCCAGCTGATGGATTATTCTCACTTTTCCAGGCTTTCAAGAAACTGCGCTTTCCGGATTTACTATCGAATCCCAGCTGCATAGTTGGTAGAAGTGTGTCACTAGGATAATCAAAACTCTGCCACAATGGATCAGCTCCTACATCATCATCTTTTACGACAAAGTTTCCGCTGTCCAAAAGCTCTGCAGCTGAACCATTAGATGGCACCGAAATATTTGTTGCCCAAAGAGAATTTTGCTTCCCATCTACAAGCTCCAGATTCCCATTGCTACTAATTGTCAAATTAGCCAAGGTATCTGAAGCTGCAATCGGATTTTCTCTGTTGGCAACCCATACAACTTTACGCAGAGATATGTTCGTGTGCCATATCCCCACGTACTTGTTAACCGAACCATTCGGAGTGAAGAACCCCAATTCGAAAATGCGGCTGGGGGAGACAAGGGTTTGTGTCTGTGAAAATGGCTGCGACGGAGTTATTTTATAAACTTCAGCACAATTATGCTGTGACAGAAGCAAGCTGAAGAAGATTAGGAAGAACATGGTGGAACCGAAAATACTACCAATGGTTTCGCTTCCAAACCCCATTTGAATTCTAATACGTTTTCTAGAAATAGAAAGGTGAAGAGTATGTGGGTAAAAAAAATAAAAAAAAAAAGAAATCGTTGGGAGAAAATGACTTTTCAATTTTGTTATAAGGAAAATTTTACCATTGCTCTCAAAGTCAAAGGCAGAAAACTTTGAAACATCAGATATAGTTCGTTGTAGATGTTTGACATTTGACTGAAAACTTAGTCCACTATCTTTGCATATACAATAGTATGGGAATACGCGGGTGACTGAAAACATTCCAAAGTGTCGTTCCAATGTTACAGCTACGGATTAGAGAAGTAAATAGCGTGCACTGAGCATTTGAAACATCATGTGTGTACTTACGAATGCAATAAGGCTCAAGTATTCCTTTGATGGAAAGCTAGTGTTCCTTCTGCCGCTTACAATCTCTGGCAGCAATACCCGAAAGCTATAAACATCCCACTTTACTGAAAACAGACCTCTATTGCATATTCAGGTGATATATAACCCCTGCAGTACGAATATAGTGATTATATATATAAAGCTTTTAACATGAGATAAATACCGGAACTATTATTAGGACTGAAGAATCCCAATTCGAAAGCCTGGCGGGAGAGACAAGAGTTTGTCCCTCTGATTATGGTTGTGCAAGACTTATCTCGTAAACTGCGGCACAATGGTGCCGTGACAGAAGAAGCAAGCTGAAGAAGAATAGGAAGAACATGGAGGAATTCAAAGCATTAACACTACTTTTGTTGTGCTTTGGCTGGTCAGTGCAAAACTATATTCAGATTATCTCACCAAAATACAAACACACAGTTGAACAGTTTAAAGAACAAGAAATAAAGACACCAAGAGAATTACGAGGTTTGGCAAAATCCTGCCTACGTCTCTGAAGAGATATTGCTCTTCACTAAGAGAATAACTAGTACAAGATACACTTTATCTCCTTTGTGTTCTCCTCCGGATGCACACACACTGCATAACTATTTCCTTCACTTATGCACCAACAATTATGCCAACAACCAAGACCAAGAAAATCTCAAGTTCACATGGCATATTCAACACCCTTTTCTATACGTAGCCTATAAAGTACAACTTTTTCTCCATTTGCCATTTAATGCATAGAAAATAAAACATGCACAATTGCATGCAAGCAAACACAAAGTCAAGACTTGCTTGCTTCCATCTTTGCTTGTGGCGGTCACCATGTCATCTCTTGAAACAAGACTTCCATGCCACAACCGAAAGCCAAACACAAAATCACAATGGCTGCTGCCATTTCCTTGTAGCATTCAGAAAGTTACACTATCAAAATTGTTGCCAACTCATAAGTATATGAGTCAAACACAACAACTTTCGGTTCTAATTTGCATCTGCATGATTAAAAAATTCCCTGAAAAGCAATACGAACGAACATTGAAATACTGTTTTGGGCTAAAATTGAGTAGGTGGATGATTCACATTTCAAACATACGTGTCCCTGTTTCAAGCATATCGGTAAACTTCAACCAATGCTGTCAAAGTCATGCACAAGACTTTGATATATATTTTGGCTCCTTCTGTACATATCTAACGGTTCATTGCTACCATTAGTTTCTCGCCTCACGTGGCGAACTGAGAGCAGTTGGATCTCCTGCAGACTGAAAATATCATATGCATATATATAGTCTTTTTTTTTTTTTTTGGTAAATATGATTGTTGGGGTCCCTAATTCATAAACGATGAACGGTTGTGTAGATCATTACCGGTGAGACGATGTGTTTGTACCGCTGCTTAAAGCCTTAAAGGTTGTTTTCTGAGAATTAAAATGCTTTTATTTGTGGGGTTTTTTTTATTTTTTTTATTTTTTTAGTTCCGAATTTTACATCTTGAAAATTTTATTTTACTAGCCAGGGATAAGCATCCGCCTTGATCAAAATTGTTACAAAAGAAGTCTGAGGCGATCTGCACTGTGGGCAGTGTCATCACTTTGTTTGTCCATCCATATCATGCTATGTGTGATTTCCATGCATGATTGTAATTTTAGTAGAAAGTTGTCATATCCCAATCCAAGCTCCACCACATCCCGGACTCAACTCCGCTTTAGCATGATATTGTCCGCTTTGGGCTCCGACCACGCCCTCACGGTTTTGTTTCTGGAAACTCAGACAAGAACTTCCCAGTGAGTCACCCATCCTGGGATTGCTCTCGCACAAACTCGCTTAACTTCGGAGTTCCGATGAACTCCGAAGCCAGTGAGCTCCCAAAAGATCTCGTGTTATATGGAGATGAGCATGTACATATAAGGCATAGAGGATCCTCTCCCCTGGATGATGTGGGATCTAACAAAAATAATGATGTAGAACAAATGAAACTAGATCGAAGAGGAAATGGACCGTCGGAAGATAAAAGGACACACTAGAAATTTGCAGATTCGATGTCTGAGCACCGATTTGGGCATGTGATACCTTTTCGGAAAGGAAACGATGCTACAAGTCCAACTCACTTCTTTGCTGTGAAGACGATAGCTTATGGTCATCTGGGATTGTTTCATCCTCCAAAATGGCATTTAAAGTTTTGTATTAAAAATCAAACCTTGTTTCTCCATCCTATTAGCGTTTAGTTAATGTTGTTTTAATTTCTAGAAGTCCTTTTGAGTTGCTCCAAACGTTTGTAAACTTCATTTAAGTCATCTGGATGTAACCATTTGGGCATTCAAGAACTAATCAAACACAACCTTTCGGAATTTCTTTCAATTTTCTGGTAAATTCCAAACTTCGTTCTACAGAAGATTACGTTGGTAACCCATTCATCACTTTGTGCTGCGTCAAATAAGATTCAGAAGAAACAATTCACTAAACAAGATGTTTCGATTATCTGTCACCTCAGCCTACCATTTAAATTGTGAAATTGTTTGAGGATAATAAGACATCGCCGTGTACTAAATAACAAATTTGCGGTCTACAAGCTGCAGAACTTTTACACGTGCAATAATCCTACTTATATTTACACGTGCAATCGCCAAAATCCATTGCATTGTGATGTAACAACGCTCTATTGCTTACCGACCTTCGATCACGGTTATGGCATCTTCATTTGCGGAGAAAATATTGTCATATCGGGGTTTAGGATTAGAGACAGAGATTCGGAAATAAGAAAATATAGGTTGCTTAGGTAGTGGAAGATCCGTCTCACTACTTTGCGTGAAAACTACGTCCGGCATGGTTGGCCTATCTTCAGACTTGTCCTGCACGCAAAGGAGTCCGATGTGCATGCATCTCATTACTTCTGAGGACAAATATGAACCCACCAATACTTCATCTAGCAAGTCCAGTCCCCTGCCTTCAATCCATAAGTGCCAAACCTGACAAAAGTCATATTGTAAATGTTGCCTACAATTGTTATAATCTGCTATATTTAGCATCTTAAAAACACAAATCCAAATGAAGATTTTGAGTGATTAGCTTACATGAGCTAAAAATCCATGCTGTTCCTCGTTGTAATAGAAGCTAGTATTCTTTTTGCCGGCAATAATCTCCAATAACAAGACGCCAAAGCTATAGACATCAGATTTTTCAGAAAATATCCCACCCATGGCATACTCTGGAGACATATAACCACTGCACAAGCAATTCATTTGTATTAATAACTGGAAAAAAATGTCTTCTCTGTTTCTGGTCTTAATGAAAGTGCCAATAATAGGAAAAGAATGTGCTTACCGTGTTCCTACAACCTTGTGAGTATTTGCTAGACTCCATGGCGCTTCTAAGATTCATGCCAATCCAAAATTTGAAATTTTTGGGTTCATATTCTCATCCAAGAGAATGTTACGAACCTTCAAATCTTTATGGATTACCTTCAAACGGGAATGGTGGTGGAGATAAAGAAGTCCTCTAGCAACTCCCAGAATAATATTGAAGAGTCTAGCCCAATCAAGCTATGCTCTGCGCGTACGATCTAATCGATAAAATCCATAAAAAGTGTGACCAATGATAGTAACATAATCATAAGAATCGGGGGATTACAAAGAGCCAAGGGATTTCCAATTGTGGTAACAAAAGAACAATATGTAACAATGAGAAATTTCATCGGAACATGAAAGGTGGCAGTGAAACTAACCGAATAGAAGAGTATCCAAGCTTCTGTTCGCCATGAACTCATATATCAGTAACTTTTCATCATCTTTGACGCAGCAGCCCATGATCCTAACAAGATTCTTGTGTTGGAGTTTGGAGATCAACAGCATCTCATTCTTGAACTCCTCTATGCCTTGCCCCGAGCTACTAGATAGTCTTTTTACTGCTATTTCCTTTCCTTCTTGTAGCTTACCCTACATATTAAGCATTCGATTTATGTCCTGTGTCCTGTAGTTTTAGGCTTCTAGCCGGTGTTGAAAACACTATATTGTATTTTGGAATTGAAATAAATAAATAAATAGTCACCTTGTAAACAGGGCCGAAACCTCCTTCCCCGAGTTTGTTCATGGTGCTGAAATTGTTTGTGGCATTTAATATGCTGTCAAAATTGTAGATGAATAGCTCTGATGGATCATATTTTCTTATGTATTCTTGAAGATTGTCCCTTGAATTATCACTTGTATGATTCAACTGCATTAACTTTGTTTTTTCTTTCGTGTTCCCTGTTTCGAAAATATAACAATCACAACTTCTTCATCACAACAAGGTTATCAAGTAACGGATATGAAGCAGTAAATATGTTCTTGTGAAGTTATGCATGGAAGTTATATACTAATTTGAATACTGCATCAGCTGCTATCACTCTATGTTATTCTCCTACCCGTTTTTTTACAGCGCAGTCTCTGAACGCCGAAAGCTATGGCAGTCAAGATACTGATAAAACCAACAGCAGTGACGCTAGCAATTAGCTTTACAGGCTTTCCTTCATCTGAAAAAATGAATTTATCAATTGCAATGAGTAAAGTATGAGACAGAAAATAAAAGATACTTCTAATAATTCTGCAGGAAATAATTCTCATTTGTTTACCTAATTCTCCGTTTGCTAGGTGAATATAAAGATCCATCCCGCCAGAGGCAAACTCTTGTATATCAATAAGATCACTGGATCAGACCAAACACCCTATATTATTAACTTGCGCATAAGCCTGACAAGAACAATTATTTAGGCATCGTATCTTGCACTCGTCAGCCTCCAGATTTTTGATAAGCTCACGAAAATCTGGTAGCTTTAATCCCACCATCTTCCGAACCCATCTTCTTTTCCTTCCGAAGAAAATGACCTGCTTGTGTTACTCTGATCACAAAACAATTCGGTGTGCCTCACACACCCTCCAGTCCTGTTTCTGTTGCTCCATTCCACATTTGTTTTTGGTACAAACCCTTTCAAACACTCAGCAATTTGGATTTGGAGATTCAGAACCTTTGCAGACACCATAAACTCCACATGTTCCATAATCATAAATGTCACATGGATTCACCTGGTGCCACCCAGGGAATCGACCATTTGCTGCCATTGTCTGAAGGCTTAAAAAACTCAGTACTCCGTCTGAAGAGATGCCAAGATATGAAGGCGTATTGTTAAAAACCCTGTAAGAAAAAGATTTTGTTCCTTGGTTCAGATCATCATTTAGAGTGAATCCACTTAGATATTGATTATTCATATCCGGTACCCCGATGAACCTTGATTTATCCCATGCCCCACTTCTCCAGTAGGGTTTCGATTCATTAATCCAAATGAACACTTGTGATGGAACGTCTAGTGAAAGTTCAACCAAGAACAAGCCAGCTGATGAATCACTCTCACTTTTCCAGGCTTTCATTAAACTGGCACTTCCCGGATTTACTATCGAATCCCAGCACCATACTTGGTAGAAGTGTGTCACTAGGATAATCAAAACTCTGCCATAATGGATCAGCTCCGACATCGTCATGTTCTACGACAAGATTTCCACTGTCCAAAAGCCCTGCAGCTGAACCATTAAATGGCACTGAAATATTCGTTGACCAAAAAGAATTCTGCTTCCCATCTACAAGCTCCAGATTCCTGTTGCTGCTAATTGTCAAATTAGCCAACGTATCTGAAGCTGCAATAGGATTTTCTCTGTTGGCAACCCATACAACTTTACTGCGGAGATATGTTCGTGTGCCATATCCCCACGTACTTGTTAATCGAACCATTAGGACTGAAGAACCCCAATTCGAAAATGCAGCTGGGGGAGACAAGGGTTTGTGTCTGTGAAAATGGTTGTGACGGTGTTATTTCATAAACTTCAGCACAATGATGCTGTGACAGAAGCAAGCTGAAGAAGATCAGGAAGAACATGGTGGAACCGAAAATACTACCAATGGTTTCGGTTCTAAACCCATCGGAATTCTAATATGTTTTCTAGAAAAAGAAATGAGAAGCGTATCTGTAAATTTCCTTGTGACGAAATGACTTTTCAATTTTGTTACGAGGAAAAGTCTACCATTGCTCTCAAAATGATTGGCAGAAAACTTCGAAATGTCAGATATTTGACATTTGAACGAAAAAAGTAGTCCAATATCTTTGTATGAGAGTACGTGGGCGATTGAAAGCCTTGTGATCAATGTGAAAGCGGACATATCTCAATCAAAACCAATGGGGAACGAGATAGTGATTGACACGCCCCAACCTCGATATTTCACGAACACCTGGATAGACACGTGCTGGCCGACACCTGAGGGTGACGCAAGCCATTTAGAATGCATGACAACAAGAATAAATGACTTATTGTAACATCCCACATGAATCAACGGAGAGGAGGTGATGTGTCTTATATGTATTTGCCCGCCTCTATATGGCACGAGACCTTTTCGGAACTTACTGAATTCGGGTTCCATTGAAACTTCGAAATTAAGCAAGTTCGGACGAGACCATTCTCAAGATGGATGACCCACTAAGAAGTTCTCATGTGAGTTCCAAGAAACAAAATCATGAGGGCGTGGCTGGGACCCAAAGCAGCTACAGTATGGTGCGAGTGTGCCAATGAGGTCGTCAGACCCTAAAGGGGGTGGATTGTAACATCCTACATCGACCAACGAAGAGGGGGTAATGTTCCTTATATGTACATGCCCACCTCCATATAGCACGCGATCTTTTGAGAACTCACTGGCTTCGGGTTCCATCAGAACCCCGAAGTTAAGCGAGTTCAAGCGAGAGCATTCCCAAGATGGATGATCCACTGGAAAGTTCTCATATGAGTCCCCAGAAACAAAACCAACTAATAGCATAATAAGTGGTAGGTTTTCCGAAAACCCTAGCATACCATAAAATATCTCATAAAGCATATCTCGTATAAATAGTGGTATCAATAATAATATCTCACGGCCCACATGCCAGCTCCTAAATCTCTATGCACCCGTAGCCAAAGATCATTTGTCCAGGCCCCTTGCCAGCTCCATGTCCCTCAACTCGAAGCCAGGGATTATTTCTTCTAGTCCACATACCAGCACCAGATCCTCGCCCCTGGCGGAATAGTGACCACTAGATACGCACAAAAACATTGAACATAATCTGTCCAAAACATAGGTACATATATCTCAAAATCATCTTCATAGTATAAAGTCATACATCATCTATATATACTATAAAGAAGTGTGAAAAAATGTTCTAAATAGTATATCGTTATCCATCAGATACCCTACAAGAACATAGGTTCGATAGAAAATATGGTATTCCAAAATAAGCTCAATATAGCATGATAATCAATTTCTCATAAAACGTTCACAAAACGTATTCAGTAAATCATGTATGCATTTCTACTAATAAAACGTGCATTTTAGAAGGAGTCCACTCACAGATACTTTGCTGTCGAAAAGCCACGCAAGCTAGCGAAGACGAAAGCGCCACAATAAATGCACCTAAGCACATAAATGATCCAATTAATAAAACTACACTCAAATGATTGAGTTTGGAAAAATGGACGTCAGAAACAGGTTTAGAACATCGAAATTAGCTTAGAAGAGGTTCCAGACGAAACCCAAAAAAATCAACCCGAAAAGTCAACATTGACATTGACCGATCAAAGTCAAAGTCAACGTTGACCGTTGACCAGGTCAACGTTCAGACCAGGTCAAAGTCAACGGGTCTGAGTCGAGTTAACTGGTTTGGGTCAACCTGGTTAGGCTTGGATGGGAACCAGATTAGGCTTAAAGGGTTTGGATCCAATAGGTTTTAGGGTTTTAAGTTAATCAGGCCGAAGGCCCTAGTTGGATGGCCCAAAGGCCTTAATCCAAAGGGTTTAGGTTTTGGGCTTAAGGCCCAACCCAAGGATTTGGGTTTAAGATAATAAGTAAAATAAAAGGGTTTTGGGTTAAAGGTTCTCTGGGCTGGAGGTCCGTTTCACATGGCCCGAAGGTCTTGGTTTCTAAAGGGGTTATAGGTTGGGTTTGGTTTTTAACAGGTTGGGCTGCCCAAAAAGGTTTGGGCTTGGAGGTTTAGGCCCAAAGGCCCCAAGTTCTTTGTTCCTCGTCAGGGAAGGAGGCTGGAGCCTCCCGAGCTCCGATCGCCAGCCAAACAACACCTAAACTTAATATCTAGATACCAAAATGGACTTTACAATGAGGGGAAGAGATCTAGTACCTTCGATTAGTCGTGGGGTGGCCGGAGGTGGCCGGATTTTAGCTCGCAAGCCACGGCTCACCAGGAACTGGGTTTTCCTTCCCTAGTTATTTATGTGCTGATTCATCGATCCACAAGCATATTCTAGGTTAGAATTAGGCCACAAGGACGAAAATGAAGTGATTTCAAGTGTCCCGAGGCTTACCCAAATCGGAGGGACGAGAAACCTCGTCGGAGTTCGTGAACCGTGGCCTCTACCATAGTTAAGTTCCCAAGTCCTTGTCCAGGGTTCATGGTGACGGGGTCCATGTGGTGGTGCTGCCGTCGTGGTCGCCGTGTGGGTGTGGGTATAGCTTGGAAGAGGGAGAGCACCGAGAAAGAGAGCTCAGAGAGAGAGGGATAGTACTTTGATATAGAGAGAGAGCACTGAGAAAGGTGTAAGGTGCACCTGAAGGGGAAGAAAGAGAGGGAAAGAGACTTGGGCTCTCGGGGACAAAACTAAAACACGTGGGCCCCACGGGCACACACATTAAGAACCAAAACAATTTTTAAAAACGGGGGTGGGGTTTTACAGTGAGTGATTCTAGGGGTACCTAAATCAGTTATAAGTGGATACTTTAAGGGGATACAATACTTGTTGTGGAAGTCATCAACATGTTACAAAAATCAAAACTGCAGTGTCTTTAGAATTCTTGTACGATTATTTACTTTTTCTCCATGCTATTGTTAAACAAAAAGTAGATGGAATATCAAGTAAACATGTAGAAAAATTATGTGTCACCTTCCGTCTAGTATTGTAATCGTAACGAAGTTTGACGATATCAAATCCTGATCATCTATACTGAATTTTGTATCCACATATCTCAGAATTGAAGTAAATATAGGTTGCAGTGGCACTAGAAGACTTGCAATTTCACTCACCAGCAATACGATCGAACATTGAAATACTGTTTTGGGCTAAAATTCAGATGAAAGAAATTTCTCAATAGTATGTGGATGATTCACGTTGCAAGCATATTAGATTTTGGCTCCTTCTGGACACACCTAACGTTCATTATGAGAATGCTACCACTAGTTTTTGGCGAACTGAGAGCAGTTGGATCTCCTGCAGACCGAAAATATATATATATATACATATATATATATAAACACACACATATATATATACATACATATATATAGGCCCTTTAACAAGAGGGATTCTTATTTTTTTTTTTAAATGAGAACATCCTCTTGACCGTTGAATTGACTTTAATGAAATTATGTGGTTGAGATTAAATCACAGATCACACAATATCATTAAAGTTAAATCTAATAGTTAAGAGGGCTTCCCCATTTTAAAAAAAAAATGGGAATCCCTCTTGTTAAAGGATCCATATATATATATATATATATGAACGGTGAACGGGACGAGATACATTAAGTAGACCACTAACGGTGCTATAGTGTGTTTGTACTGCTTCTTAAACGTTGTTTTCTAAGAATTAAAGTGCTTTTGTTCGTGATTTTTTTTGGTAGTTTCGAATTTTACATCTTGACAATTTTATTTTACTAGCCGAGATAAGCATCCGCCTTGATCAAAATCGTTACAGAAACAAGTTGAACAATCTGCATTGCGGGCAGTGTCATCTCTTTGTTTGTCGATTCATATCATGCTTGCCATTGCCATGCAAGTGTGATTTCCACATGCATGATCCATTCGTATTTATAGTGAAAAATGTATAAGGTTCAGAAGAAGAATTCCTTAAAATGTTTCGATTATCTTTCAACTCAGTCTACCACTGTACTAATTAAATAGCAGATTTGCGGTCTACAAGATGCAGAAATTTTACACGTGCAGTAACCTTACTTGTCTTTACACGTTCGATCACCAAAATCCATTGCATTGTGATGTAGCAACGGTCTATTGCTTACCGACCTTCGATCACGGTTATGGTATCTTCATTTGCAGAGAAAATATTGTCATATTGAGGTTGAGGATCATAGACTGCGTTTCGGAAATTAGAAACTATAGGCTGCTTAGGTAGTGGAAGATCCGTCTCACTACTTAACGTGAAAACTACGTCCGGCATGGTTGGCCTATCTTCAGACTTGTCCTGTACGCAAAGAAGTCCGATATGCATGCATCTCCTTACTTCTGATGACGAAAATGAATCCGCCAATACTTCATCCAGCAAGTCCAGTCCCCTGCCTTCGTTCCATAAGTGCCAAACCTGACAAAATTCATATTATGAATGTTGCCTACAATTGTTAGAATCTGCTATATTTAGCATCTTAAAAAACACAAATCCACATGAAGATTTTGAGTGATTTGCTTACATAAGCTAAAAATCCGTGCTGTTCTTCGTTGTAATAGAAGCTAGTATTCTTTTTGCCAGCGATAATCTCCAATAGCAAGACACCAAAGCTATAGACATCAGATTTTTCAGAAAATATCCCGCCCATGGCGTACTCGGGAGACATATAGCCACTGCACCAGCAATTCATTTGTATTAGTAACTGAAAAAAAATGTCTTCTTTGTTTCTGGTCTTAATAAAAGTGCCAATAATAGGAAAATAATGCGCTTACAATGTTCCCACAATCTTGTGAGTATTTGCTAGACTCTGTGTCGCTTCAATGATTCGTGCCAATCCAAAATCTGAAATTTTTGGATTCATATTCTCATCCAAGAGAATGTTACTAACCTTCAAATCTCTATGGATTACCTTCAAACGGGAATCGTGGTGGAGATAAAGAAGCCCTCTAGCAACTCCCTGAATAATATTGAAGCGTCTAGCCCAATCAAGCTCTGCTCTGCGCTTTGGATCTAATCAATATATCCATAAAAAGTGTAACCAATAATAGTAACAAAATCATAAGTAGTGGGGGTTTACAAAGAGCGAAAGAATTGCCAATTATGGTAACAAAAGAACAATATGTAACAAAGAGAAATTTCATCCAAACATAAAAAGTGGCAGTGAAACTAACCGAATAGAAGAGTATCCAAGCTTCTGTTAGGCATGAACTCATAAATCAGTAACTTTTCATCGTCTTTGACGCAGCAGCCCATGATCCTAACAAGATTTTTGTGTTGGAGTTTGGAGATCAACAGCATCTCATTCTTGAACTCCTCTATGCCTTGCCCCGAGCTACTGGATAATCGTTTTACTGCTATTTCCTTTCCTTCTTGTAGCTTACCCTACAAATTAAACATTCGATTTATGCCTGTGTCTTGTAATTTTAGGCTTCTAGCCGGTGTTTAATACACTATATTTTCCTTTTGGAATTGAAATAAATAAATAAATAGTCACCTTGTAAACAGGGCCGAAACCTCCTTCCCCGAGTTTGTTCATGGTGCTGAAATTGTTTGTGGCATTTAATATGCTGTCAAAATCGTAGATGAATAGCTCCGATGGATCATGTTTTCTTATGTATTCTTGAAGATTGTCCCTTGAATTATCACTTGAATGATTCGACTGCATTAACTTTGTTTTTTCTTTCATGTTCCCTGTTTTGAAAATATAACAATCACAACAACTTCATCAGAACAAGGTTATCAAGTAATGGATATCAATCAGGAAATATGTTCTTGTGAAGTCATGCATGGAAGTTATATACTAATTTGAATAATGCATCAGCTGCTATAACTCTATGTTATTCTCTTACCTGTTTTTTTACGGTGCAGTCTCTGAAAGCCGAACGCTATGGCACTCAAGATACTAATAAAACCAACAGCAGTGACGCTGGCAATTAGCTTTACTGGCTTTCCTTCATCTGAAAAAAAAAATGAATTTATAAATTGCAATGAATAAAGTATGAAACAGAAAATAAAAGATACTTCTAATTATAATTCTGCAGGAAATAATTCTCATTTGTCTACCTAATTCTCCGTTTGCTAGGCGAACATAAAGATCCATCCCGCCAGAGGCAAACTCTTGAATATCAATAAGGTCACTGGACCAGACCAAACACCCTATATTATTAACTTGCGCATAAGCCTGACAAGAACAATTATTTAGGCATCTTATCTTGCACTCGTCAGCCTCCAGATTTTCGATAAGCTCATGAAAATCTGGTAGCTTTAATCCCACCATCTTCCTAAACCCATCTTCTTTTCCTCCTGAAGCCAATGACCTGCTTGTGTTACTTTGATCACAAAACAATTCGGTGTGCCTCACACACCCTCCAGTCCTGTTTCCGTTGCTCCATTCCTCATTTGATTTTGGTACAAACCCTTTCAAACACTCGCAATTTGGATTTGGAGATTCAGAACCTTTGCAGACACCATAAACTCCACATGTTCCATAAATGTCACATGGATTCACCGGTGCCTCCCAGTTAAGCCACCAGTTGCTGCCATTGTCCGAAAGCTTAAGACTCAGTACTCCGTCCGAAGAGATGCCAAAATATGAAGGCGTGTTGTCAAAAAACCTGTAAGAAAAAGATTTTGTTCCCCGGTTCACATCATCAGTTAGAGTGAATCCACTTAGATATTGATTATTCATATCTGGTACCCCGATGAACCTTGATTTATCCCATGCCCCACTTCTCCAGTAGGGTTTCGATTCATTAATCCAAATGAACGCTTGTGATGGAACGTCCAGTGAAAGTCCAACCAAGAACAAGCCAGCTGATGGATCACTATCACTTTTCCAGGCTTTCATTAAACTGCGCTTTCCGGATTTACTATCCAATCCCAGCACCATACTTGGAAGAAGTGTGTCACTAGGATAATCAAAACTCTGCCACAATGGATCAGCTCCGACATCATTATCTTTTACGACAAGATTTCCGCTGTCCAATAGCTCTGCAGCTGAACCATTAGAAATATTCGCTGACCAAAGAGAAATCTGCTTCCCATCTACAAGCTCCAGATTCCCATTGCTGCTAATTGTCAAATTAGCCAAGGTATCTGAAGCTGCAAGCGGATTTTCTCTGTTGGCAACCCATACAACTTTCCTCGGAGATATGTTCGTGTGCCATATCCCCACGTACTTGTTAACCGAATCATTAGGACTGAAGAACCCCAATTCGAAAACGCGGTTGGGGGAGACAAGGGTTTGCGTCTGTGAAAATGGTTGTGATGGAGTTATTTCATAAACTTCAGCACAATGATGCTGTGACAGAAGCAAGCTGAACAAAATTATGACGAACATGGTGGAATCGAAAATACTACCAATGGTTTCGTTTCCAAACCCTATTTGAATTCTAATGCGTTTTCTAGAAAAAGAAAGGTGAAGAGTATCTGTAATTTTCATTGAGAGAAAATGACTTCTCAACTTTGTTATGAGGAAAAGTCTACCATTGCTCTCAGTCATAGGCAGAAAACTTTGAAACATCAGATATAGTTCGTTGTAGATGTTTGACATTTGACTGAAAACGTAGTCCTCTTATCTTTGCATGTACAATAGTATCAGAATATGTGGGTGACTGAAACATTCCAAAGTACCGTTCCAATGTTACAGCTACGGATTAGAGAAGTAAATAGCGTGCGCTTAGCATTTGAAACTTCATGTGTGTACTTACAAATGCAATAAGGCTCAAGTGTTCCTTTGATCGAAAGCTACTTAGTGTGAAAACTACGTCCGGCATGGTTGGCCTATGTTCAGACTTGTCCTGCACGCAAAGGAGTCCGATGTGCATGCATCTCATTACTTCTGAGGACAAATATGAATCCACCAATACTTCCATCTAGCAAGTCCAGTCCCCTGCCTTCATTCCATAAGTGCCAAACCTGACAAAAGTCATATTGTAAATGTTGCCTACAATTGTTATAATCTGCTATATTTAGCATCTTAAAAACACAAATCCAAATGAAGATTTTGAGAGATTAGCTTACATGAGCTAAGAATCCGTGCTGTTCCTCGTTGCAATACAAGCCAGTATTCTTTTTGTAGGCGATAATCTCCAATAGCAAGATGCCAAAGCTATAGACATAAGATTTTTCAGAAAAATGCCAATAATAGGAAAAGAATGACGCTGACAGTGTTCCCACAACCTTGTGAGTATTTGCTAAACTTTGTGTCATTTCAACAATTCGTGCCAATCCAAAATCTGAAATTTTTGAGTTCATATTATAATAACTGGTTCCAATTTGTAATGTAAATTACAGGTTTGCCAACGGGTGGGTTTTGTTATTTAGGCCCAAACAATTGGGCTGTGCTATCACTAGCCCAAAAACCCGGCCCACACACTTTTATTCCTTGTTTTCTCTCACACGTGACCCATAACTCCCTCCCTCTCATCTCTCCCGTTGAAGCTCTCTGTACCTCACCCTCACTCACTCTAATTTCCCGAGCATCACCACTCACAACCACCATCTCTTACGGCTTGGTTCAACACAAAATTACCAGAAATAGATAATGGGTTGCCTGAGGATCTCAGCAGTGGCTCTGCATGGATCATCTGCGCATGGCAGAGTTTCGAACTCACTGAACCGTGAGCTTCGAGTCTTCCCCGTCGGTTCCACGTGAAACAGCTGCCTCATTTGGTGTTTAATCCAAGGTTTATGAGTGATGTGGGGATAATTTCGAGCTGAGAAATTGAAGGATTTACAGAATTTAATCTCTGTCTTTGCTTTTCTAGTTTTCCGCTGAACTCAAGGCGAAATTCGAAGGGAATCGTTGTCGATTTAGTTGGACTCAAACTTCTTCTGATCTCAGGTAGATATGGCGAGGAAGAAGGTGAGTGGTTGGCTACAGGAATAAAGGATGTTTGGTTGTGTTTGGGAGATTTAAATAAGGACAGGTGTCGTTGTTTTATTGAACCACACAAGTGAATGTCTATATTGGGCACTCGTACTCAAGTATTATCATTTTTTTCTCTTCTGATCCCAACTGTTTTTGTGATTTATTAATCCATTTCTCTTCTTCTTTTTTTTTTTAATTTTTTAATTTTCTTTTTTAAGACTCTTGCCGTACTTATCTTAAACTTTCACATTATCTATAAATATTGGATTACTTTTTATAAATAATGTAAATATTGTTTAATGATTATTTTATGATAATTTAAATCTATCTAGGCTCTTGTCTAGATCTCGTCTAAGTGCGTAGTTGCTAGGTCCCAGTCCGCTGTTTGATTAGCATCTAACATTTTTTAGGATCTAATTCTAGCCAATTTAAATTTTTTACATTGGCTTTAATATTATTGCTTACAACAGTTTTGGTAGAGAGACTATTTTCTGCTATGAATATTGACTCAAAACTTTGTACTTTCTAATGTGAAAACAACCGCTTCGATTGAACCTTGTTCTCTTTTGAATTTCACCCCTCCCATCGACAAATCTTGGCTTCGCCACTGCCCGCAGGCTGAAGAAACCCAGTTCGAAACTTTGTCGTCTGAGATGAGGGTATCTCCATCTTTTAAAGATTGACCCTGTGAAATTGAACTGGATGCAGAGCAAATCGGAGCAAGAGAGCAGAGAATGCAGAGGAATGAGATAATGTAAAATTTGGAACCTGGGATTTTGCTAATGATGCCCATTTCATGAACTTTGAGAATTGCATGCATTCATTAGCAGAAAAGGAAAGATATCTACAAGTAGAAGCAAGGTTGTTTTTATTTGTATTACAAAGCAATATTACTATTTGTCACTTAGTACTACAATTAGTGTTATTCTTCTTTATTTATAAGTGAGAGGTCTTATGTTCAATTCTAGGCAAAGGCGAATTTGAACCATATTATTGTTAGCCCATTGTGAGGTTTACCCATTCTTTCACCCTTAGACCATCTCTAATGGTGACTTATAACTTAAAATCTCACCCCCCCCCCCCCCAAAAAAAAAATCCACTCCAACTCATGACCCAAAATTAACCTAAAACCTAAAACTCATTTGAGGGTTAAATACCGGCCTAGTTTTAGGCTACAAAGCAAAATGGGCCTCACCAACTGAGACTGAAACCGAGGCTGTGAAGCCCAGTTCCCTTTCCCTACTCACCTAAGCGCTGTACGCGCTAGGCATTTTTAGAAAAGCAACAACCCCACGTGGGGGTGTTCCCCCGCCAGTCAGTGCAATAAGTAGCCCAACAGCTACTTTTTATAATCCAACGACTACGTTTAAATGGGCTGTTGGTTAATCCAACAGTCCAGGTTCAAATTTTATTTTTTTTTAAGTTTTATATTTATGTATTTATTGAATCCAACGACTTAGATCGAATATAATTAAATATAACAGTAAAAAAAAAAAAAAGATCTAACGGTCCAAATTTAAATCCAACGGCTAGAATAATTTTAAAAAATTATTTAACTTAAAATTCAACCAAAAACTCTATAAATACCTATGTATTTGTTCAAACATCCACACAAAACTCACTTTTCTCCTACAATTCTTCCAATTTTTCTTTATACCATTTCTTCTCTTTTCCAAAATTTTCAAGATTGCAAAAGAGCATGTTAGAGGTCATAATTGGACATTTGACGAAGATATTGCTTTATGTTTGGCATGAATTTTGGTTAGCGAATATGGTGTCGTTGGCACCAATCAAAATTTAAAGGTTTTGTGGGGCAAAATCGTTGATAAGTTCTATGAAAACTCCAACATCGGTCGAAGGGATGTTGGTGGTGTTTATGATCGGTGGAAGATTATCAACAAAGCGTGCACTTTGTGGAATGGAAGCTTGGAGAGAGCCATGGTTAACATGCCTATTGGAAGGGACACCTTAGAAATTGTGAGTTTCTTTGTTGATATTTTAGTTGTCATGTACATAATAGTATTTTGCAACTAATTGTTTTTATGTATTTGTTGCATAGGGTGACAAAGTAATGGCAATTTACAAGACAAGAAATACACCAAAAAATCAAGCTTTTAAGTTGCATCATGCTTGGAACATCCTCAAGGATTGTCCGAGGTGAGAAACCGATGCGAATCAACAATGTGGAAGACTATTTCATAATGAATCCCCACCCCCAAATGATGTCAATGAAGGTGTGAATTTTGCCGACAATAGGTGTCGACCAAATGAGCCCAACTTCTTATTTTCCAAGGCTCCCGGGTAGAGATAAGCAAAAGGAAGCAAAGAGAAAAGGGAAGTCCCAAGATCCGATACGTGCATAATTTGTTAGCGAAATGGCAAGAATGAACGAAAACCAATGCCATCGGCAAGAAAAATCGGCCTAAATGTTTTTGGTCATGAAGGAAGAACAGGATAGGGAGCAAGAAAGGTACGAAACTAATTTGATAATGGAAGACCTCGACAAATACACTCCAGAGAGGAAGAAATACTTACATGGTAAGTAAAAGGAAATTTTACGAAGGAATGCCACAAGGAGTATATTTTAAGATGATGATTCATCTCAAAACTATCACCCAAGTCCATCACTAAGTTAAGATGGTAGATATCATTATTAAGTTTATGTAGTCTATAAATTTTCGATTGTATTAAGTTTATTGGTTTATTAATTGTCTTTTCTTTTTTTCTTTTTTTTTTATTTTTTTTTATTTTTTTTATTTATTTTTTATTTTTTTTTAAGTTTATGTGATTTATCATGATTTTCATGTATTGATTTAGTGATTTTTCATAATTTATCAGAATTTAAATATTTTTAGGTTAAAATGTTCATAAAATTAATTTAGGATAGTCTACATAATTATTATTTTTTTAGGTTAATTTATAAAAAAAAGTTAGCCTTAATTCATTCTTTGATAATCTGGGGCTAAAATTTTAGGCCATAAGGGTTGGAATAGAAAAACTGTTTCTAGGCTAAAACCTAAATTTTATAGGCTAAATATTTTTAGGTTTTAGGTCACCATTGGAGATGGTCTTAGTGTAGATAATATCATTTGTTTAAAAAAAAAATTATGAGAAGTGTTATTGACACTCCAAAAATCACATTCTACACTCCTCACAAATGTATTTTTCTTTCCAAATATAGAAAGTTTGGAGTGTAGAATAATATTTTTGGAGTGCTAATAACAATTCTCAAAAATATTACTATTTTAAATCAGGCTAAGAAAATGGGAAAGAGTTTGAACTCAAAGCATACTGATCTGAAGACAAAATCTCTATTCACAAAGACAATTCACCACTTGAAAAAGTAGAAGGGCTTTAGGTGTGTAAAGTATTAGATTAAGGTAATGCAAATAGGCTTCAATGGCGGCCTCATGCTACTGGCTTAAGCGAATCTAGAAAAATATTCATGCTCATAAGTTCTTTTGTTATAAGTGCTTTTATTATGAATACGTTGAACCTTTATATAAAAACACATGTTTCTTCAACTATAATTAGTCAGAAACGCTCACAAAACACTTTAGTCTTTTTATAAGTAGTCTTAAACAATAGATGGTAGGCGAGGATCCTTTTCTTGGGAATTCTAGGAATCCCGTGATCGTGACTGTTCATCGTACGTCATGCGAACAGAAATCATTTCAAAATTTAAAATTTAAAAT